ACCAATAATTTTAACCCTCTAACCTGATAAAATGATAATCTGTCCACTGTAGTAACCACTGTGCCTGAAAGGGGGAAATATACAATCCTTAATTCTCTTTTCTTTGGGGCAAGCTTGGGTGCCATGCGATGCACCGAGAAACGCTGGACGTTGACATGAAGTGAAAGGGGAAGAGAAAGCGCGGCAAGTCCGTGATGTTATGACGTGGCAATGGGCCGCCAAGGTTAGAGAGCGCTTGGGGGAGGGGTTGAGGGGGTTAGCAGTCAATGAGGTAGTGCTAATCCCCAGTTGGCGGGCCGAAGAGAAACACGAGGGCTTCCACGCTCAGGAGGCTGTCCATCACTGGAAAGTGCTCCGCGTCCTTGCTGTCAAATGTACTTAGGAAGTGAGGGGTGTTGCGCATTTGCGCTGCTATGCTCAAGTATGTGATAAGAGGCTCATAATGCATCAGTCATGTTTCTTCCCAAGTTGAACAGTGGTGCGGCGTTTTTTTATAAAATGCTTAGTTTTGGGTGAGATATGTCATTTTTTTTACAGTTTAAAGAGGAAGCAAGGAACACCACATCAATTCCTCAGATTGGCCAAATGAATTCTGTAATGTGTTTGTCATGAATAGCTGTCGTCACAGAGGCGATGCCAAAAGCCAGGTATCTGCCACTGCAATCTATGTAGGGTAACGGGTGCTGACAGCTTCGAATTGTGCTTGCGCGCATTATGGAACGAGAATCGTGACGCAAAATCTTGAGGGAATCCATTTGTGTTGGAATGTAAAGCCAGCCTTCAAACTTTCAAGGAGCAGACTTTGGTTTCACCGCAGAGGAAGGAGAAATGGAAGGTAAAAAGGACCCGCAAGAAGAAATAGTGGTTCACACAACTTCATCTTCATTTACCAACGTTTGACACTCTTGGTCGGAGGCAAGGAAGTGCAGACTGTAATTCGAAACGTAACTCATAGCAAAGAAAAAAAAAACAAAAATTCCAGTACACTGGATTAATTTGTCAAAGACTTGAGCTTGTGTTCACACATGAATGCTGTCTTATAGTGTTCAAAGATTTAAAAAAACAAATTAGAAAAGAGTCATTTACGAAAAAAAAAAGAATGAACATTAAATGTAATTCCTGTTTTGTTCCAAGCCAGTTCAGTGGTTACAGGAACTTTAATTTTAAATTACGTCTAGAATATGATTACAGAGTACATTACAAGATCCCTGTGTGACTTTACTTCTAAATACAAAGTATGTTCATACAAAACATGTGAATCATACTTCATGCATCCAGACAGCCATTTTCTAATCCTCACGAGGGTCGCGGGCATGTAGGAGCATATCCCAGCCGTCTTCGGGCAGTAGGCGGGGCACACCCTGAACTGGTTGCCAGCCAATCGCAGGTCACATGGACGAATAACCATTCACACTCACAATCACAAATTTGGGGTTCCATTAACCTGCCATGCATATTTTTGGAATGTGGGAGGAAACTGGAGTACCCGGAGAAAACCCACACAGGCACGGGGAGAACATGCAAACGCCACACAGGATGGCCGGAGCCGGAATCGAACCCCGCACCTCAGCACTGTGAGGCGATCATGCTAAGCAGTCGCCCACCGGCCCACCGCATCATACTTAACTATAGTTATATGTCATTCATCATTATGATTGCTGATACAAGAAACTGTGTGTGTGTGTGTGTGTTTTCCATGAAAACGGCAGTTGTCTCCCATTCCCACCAAAAAAATTATTATAGTATAGAATAGTATTTTTTTTTAAAACTACCAACAGGTTACAGTCTCACTGTACTAAGGAATCATGTTAAGAATTTCAACTGAAATTTAAACTTCGTTTTTAAAAAAAAATTACAATAATAGTAATAATAATAATAATAATAATAATAAGTGATATTATAAAATATTTGTCATCATGCTTCTTGTTGATACTTGACGAACAAGGTGGCTCCGGTGTGAGATTCTTTCTCAGAAACAGGCACTAATCCAAACACAAAACACATTTAAACAGGAGACACAAAACACATTTAAACGGTTCATCCTGTCGATAGTGTTGATTTGCCAAAACGATTTCATTGTCTGTGAAACTTGTACTAAAGTGCGACAAGATCCTCAACAGTTAACATTTTTTATTGCCCCAGACAGAATGTTACACCGCATGCAGTATTTTTGCTGCGAGCCAATGCAAATTCTCTTGCTGGTTGCAGGTTTCTTTTGTGGGTTAATACTTGGCTCACTAACACATCCTGATGAATGCAAACGCACACACGGCTCGGTAATACAAACCTGCCTAACAAGACTGCTGCTGTCACTCAGCCGGGCCCCCTCCGCAAACTCACACAAGGCTCTGAAAGGACAAATGTTTGTTTCCCCTTCTGCGGAATTAATGAGGGCATCAGTTAGTTGCCGCCTCCTGCCCGAGCAACAGAATGCAAGCCCGCTTTCCTTCTCTGTCTGGGCTTGAAAGTGAGGAGTAAATATTAGCAGTAGAACTATTTATAAAAGCGCTGGAAATGTGCAGCCCACACTGGGGCAATGAAAGGGGCAGCGGGGGTAATGAGGAGAAATGAGGAGACAAAGAGTCCACGGGGCGGAACCAGTGCAATTTGTGTGCTAATTGCTCGAATGCGTCACACCAACTCGCTCCTTGTCGTGGTCCTCCTGTTCTATACCCTCAAGTCAAGGTTGTTGTGACATGAATGGTACCCATTAGACATTCATACAATCAGTCCCAAGTGTTGATGCGCAACACTCGTTTGGCATCGCTTTTGGAACTTTTGTACAGTGGTGCCTCGACTTACAAACGTCTCTTCATACGAAAGTTACAAAACGCCTCAACAGGAAAATATTGCCTCTTATTACGAAAGAAATGTTAAGATACAAGAGGTTAAAATACAGCACGGGCTGCTACTCGCAGCTCCGTGTTTCCTGATCGCAACGTACCTTTTGCTGCTCTGCCATTGGCTATTACGTTTCATTTTCCTGGCATCCCATTGGCAAAGAGGGACATCTACCGAATGTGTCTATTCAGCGTCCTCATCATTCGCCCCTCGGGCCATAAGGTGTTCCGATAATTTTACGTAAATGTGATTTCACCCAGAAAAAGTGTTCACCAGTTCACCACCGATCGCTCACTATGCTGATGTTTGCCTTGGACATTTTCGAAGGACTGTTAAAAGCAAACGCCCTTGGATCAGTTCTTTACAAAACGCCAGGCAAAAACTATTTCCGAGAGAGAACATGAAATAAAGAGGGCAAAAAAAAAAAAAAAGAGGACGCAGTTAAAAGTTAAATGACCATTATTTTTATTCTTTGTTCTTTACATTATGCACAACTCTCATTTATTGTGCAATAACCTAATTGTAACGTGTATTTGGTACATATTTTGATGCATTTTTATGCTTTACAAAACATTTTTGTCTGAATTTTGGGGAACGGATTAGAGCATTTACATAGAAAACGCGTCTCTACTTACAAATGCTCTAGTTAAGAAATTTCTTCCAGAACCAATTCATTTTGTTAGTAGAGGTACCACTGTATTTCATTTTAATTTTGATTGCTGTGTTTTACAGCGTATTCAAATTGCAATGGACAACTTCAACTTCAATTACAAATTTTGCAATCGTTTCAAAGCAGGATGTGGGAGTTCGAGGTGAAGCCAAAGATCAAGCTTTTTGCCTTTTCTACCTATCGCAGCGCGTTAGACTTCCTCTGATATTTGACTAAAATGGAGTTCAGACTCCTTTTTTCCAGATGCAGCATCCCTTGTTGGGCCTTTGTAGTTTGGTAAATTTACGCATTCCGTCTTTTCTCCGTCTAAAGATGACATTTCTTTTGTGTGCTGCCAGAGATGTAGATATAGTTTGACCACACTCAAACAGAGTTCCCTGACTACATGTGGTTTGTGTGATGAATTCTCTTAAAAGTGTTCATGGTGGAGTTCATCATGTTTCAGGCGGCCCGCGCGAGGGGTCTAAGAATGCTGATTTGCTGCGATCTGTGACAGAACAGATGAGCGGGATAAAATATTTGGTTGGATCAGAATGTGATGACCATTTTTGGTGAGCTCATCATTTTGTTCATTGTACCACTTGTTTGAGGCCCAGTATAACAATCAGAAAAGCAAATCAAAGCAAGTTAAATGCAAAACGCTTAATCTAATTATTTATCATCACAGAACAGAACAACTACATATTGTATAGCTTTACTGATGTATCTATCCATTTTCAACACAACGCTTATCCTCATTAGGTTCCCCTTCAAAATCACATGAATATCACTGCCCGTTTAATTTTTAGTTTGCCGTTTAAAAAAAAAAAAGACAGTATTTGCCATTGCTCATGTCACCACGCGGATCATTCTCAAATCAGTTGAACCACCGCAAATGGCGCTAATCACGCGTAATGACTTTGCTGTCTGCCCTTCCCATTTAGACCGCTGCCAAATCAATTGTATTACCTCACTCAGGCTGAGAAATATGGAAACCATTAAACGGGACGGTGGGTGGGGAGGGGGTGGGGGGTATCGGTGCCTCTGGCTGCCATTCAAAATTCACTCTTATAATGTAGAGCCTACACTACAAAAAAAATAAAAATTAGGAGGAAGTGGCTATATATTCACGGACACATTTGTTTAAGTCTGCACTAGCCAATTTTTATTTCTAACACTGATGTGTTTGAGTTGTTGCGAGAAAAAAAATGATTTTAAAACTTCATTTGGACATCTTCAGAGAACCTTTTAATCAGATTGGGGGGATTTGGGCTGTTAAAGGCAACCCTCTATATGTCTGCAGCTGCGGCTGTGGAAGGAAGTGGAGAAACTATTTTAGCACTTGAGCTTGAGCCTGTCAGCATGTTCCAGTGCTCAACCTGAGTTGTCGGGGTTAACCAAATACTGAAACAAGGCTGAATAGCGATCACATGCGCACTAAAAGAAACAAGGGGAAATAAAAATGAAGTTCACGCTCAAACTTGTGAGCAAAGTGACAATGGGAGCAAATTATTTATTCGCAATAAACAAGCTCCAGACATCTGTTCTTAATGGACTGATGTAGTATAGCGATGGGAAAAACAGCTTTCCAACAAGAACACATTTGATGTCCAAAACATGGAATGCAAAATGCTTGGTTGTACACAAATCAAGCACAGAAGTCTAATTAAGACAGAGTGGGACAACAAAGTCGATGTTTCTCAATTTTGGCCCCATGAAGCTCATAAAAACCATTCATTGGTTCTCAGATACATAAAAACGTCAATAAATGTAAATTGCAACAAAGATCTGTAATTCATCATATGATTGTAAATCTGAAAAAGACATGTAAAAACATGTAAAATTGTTATTTACTGGTTTTTGAATGGGATATGAATTGGGTGAATCTTCTGTAACGTGACTTTTCTAAATTGATTTCCTCTTTACGCCACCGTATTTTCAATCCGTTCTATATGTGACAAAGATCAAAGCATCTACAGTCAAGAGAAAAATTCATCATTTATATTGTAACATTTTGGAAATTATTCTTAACCCATTTTGAGGAAACTAAATAATATGCAGTTACACAAAGTACGAAAGCCTGTTTCCATAATATTGTGTGATGATAACCATTCAACAGGTTCAAAAATCGCTTGCCATCAAAATGTGGCCGGGTTATGAATGATTTTTGGGCTTCAACGAAGCAACTAACAGTTACAGTTACAGTCGAGGAAAACACTTTCACGCAGGGCGGTGAAAAGCAAAGGCAGTGGGCCTGGTGGCTTAAGTGATGTGCGGTCCTTGTTTTTTTTTGGGGGGGGGGGGTGTCAAGCTGCTCCATTTATCAAATCATCATGCTCAATCGCAATACAGCCCTGAGCATTTTTTCATTATCTCACTGTCGGGGCTCCACGAGGGTGGTGAAAATCCTTTGGGTTATATTATGTCCAGATCTAGCTAGCTTTAGCTAGCATACAAGTTCATGAACATAAAGTGTACTTTAGAGTCCAGCGCCTTCCAAATATGTTCCTTGAGTACTTTGATCGCTTTCTTCTCCCTTTGAATTGCACGCTGATGTTGACATAGTTGAACTCAGCCAGACATTGCCGTCACTCTCTGACTTTATCCTCTCTCAGTAAAGCTGTTCTCGCCGGCTTTGTTAGCTCCTCCAAGGAACAAACCGTTGGCTGCCCACCCCACCACCATCCCTCTACTCCAGAACAGATTTACTGTGATTACCCAGACCAGTGTTTACTTTTCCCAGCGTACTTAACTCTGTATTTATTTTATTCAAATTAATTCCACCACACTCATTCTTCTCCCTAAGCCATTTTCATCCATCTTGATGATCCCTCCTTGCGACGGTGCAAATAGATCACCGAATCTGGGAGAGGTAAAGCGGAATTTTGTCTGGAAAAAAAAAAAAAAAAAAGACTTCTTCTTATTCAAAACATGTCATGTGATGTTTGGTTTCTTGAAGATAAAGTGCTTCTCCTTCAGTAGATCGTGAACATCAAAAAACAAATGACTTGAGGTCAGTTTCACATAACAGGGTAAGGACACAGCATGGAAACTTGGATTGGATGAATGGGCTCATTTGGCTACGTAAGGCTGCACTGACATTTGGTTACAAAAATGTTTCAATGTTGTACAAAATACACAAACAAAAAAATGTCACCCAAAACAACTGACAGCACAAATTGTGCTAGATAGCACAGTACTTTAAAATGTGCATTGCAGCAAAACATTTCATAACGGCAAAACTGCTCTCATCATAAACTTTTATGAAACTAAGCTATGCAATGTTTTGAACAACAATTTAACATGAGTAGTGATCAAATCATATAAAAAGGTGTTCAACACATGGCAAGACCAAATGAAATGAAATACATATTACTCACCCTTTGATGATGCTGTACTTCGGCGGAACAAACACACAAGAGACCCAAGGCGTCATGACTCACTTTTAACATTCTCACTTGTCATAAACTGTGAATCAAAATAAATATGCAGAGAGAGGATTACTGCTGAATATGTCACAACAATGATAATAAAATAACTAGAAATACATATGACAACAATGTATCCACAAGCTGAAATTAAGATTCCGGACAGAACAAGGATTCCACACGCGCAGACAGAAATAAGTAGAATTGATATATTTACAAAAACGCAAGACCGACAAAGTACAATTAAGGACGCTGGTAACAAAGAACCCGGAAAAGGCAAGAACAAAGCAAAAATGCTCGCAAAAGGCAAGGAGCAAGAAAAACGTAAATTGCTTGTCGACTCAAAGGACAAATGAATCCAATACAAAAACATACATCGAGAATACACAAGGAAAATACTTACAAGAACAAAAACATACGATGAACTAACAAGGCAAGGCTATGTGGCAAAAGAAATGTCAAGAATGCCTCGAAAAGTAGGCACTTGGGAGTCGTGAGCTAAATACTGACAATCACTGGGCATCTTGTCAGTCCTTAAAATACAAGTCGTGATTAGGAAACGCGGCGCAGGTGCGCCTGCTGGAGGGAACCGCCCCTCACTCCAGCTGGAGCTGAAACACAATCAAGACAAAGAAGACAGGATCATGACAACCTCATCTGATGATCTGAAAAAATACCTGAAAAAGAAGACCACCGGGGAAGAAGTGTGAATGCGATCGCGACTAACTTTATTAAAATAAACAATATACATATGTGTGGCAGGCTGATTGAACACTCTAAATTGTCCCTTGGTGTGAGTGTTTGTGGAGGCTCTCAGTCGTACAGGAAAGTTCCATCGTAGAAAGGGTTCTGTCAGTCGTCATCTGTACCTGTACCCACAGGTACAGATGACGACTGACAGAACCCTTTCTACCTTGGTGTGAGTGTGAGCGCGAATGTTTGTTTGTTGCTGTGTGCCCTGCGATTGGCTGGCATCGGGTTCAGGGTGTCCCCCACCTACTGCCCGAAGACGGCTGGGATAGGCTCCAGCACCCCCCGTGACCCTTGTGAGGAAAAGCGTATCGTAAAGTGAATGAATGAATGAATATATATATACATATATATATATATATATATATATATATATATATTTTTTTTTTCTGATATAAACCAACTGACAAACTGACTGCGTTGGGGGAAAAGCTACATTAGAGTATGCTATCGCGATTATTTAAAGAGGTTTTGCTCTCTACAAACAGCAGAATAATTTTAACACCTGACATTGTCTCAGCGATAAGTGGCCCGATTAGTTTCCGTGTGCGGTGTAAACGCGTGGTAGTGTCACATTCTGTTCCCGTCGGTTGGTTTAATGTCAGTTTTTTTTTTTTTTTTTTTTTAGAAAGGTGCATGCTTTGCATCATTTGCTATCTCCCAGCAACGCTCTTAAGAACACGCACACACTCACAACTAAAACAAAAACAAACAAAAAAAAAAGTCCTTCAACAGCGCATACCGCCAGGGTCCTATTTAAAGGCTTGAGGGTGAGGGTGGGGGTTTCAGAGGGGGGTCTACAAAAGTCCATTTACAGTGCGGGTCAGTACATTTGAATGCCTTTACCACTCCAGCCAAATTCTTTGTCTCCCTCATTCACAGCAAGTTATCTCGAGCGCTCCCAGCACAAAGGCAATTGGTATTATATTGTTCGGGCAGACATTAACCCCTGATATTTTCACTGCTGTCCATTAACATCCTTTTTACTTTCTTTACTACAAGGCAATTCCCACAGAACAAGAGGTCACACACCGAACCATGAAGAGATACTCAGCGACTGACAAACAAAGACATGTCGAAAGAAAGTACAGCGGTGATTAATCCCATTCTTTTATTTTTTTTACATTTTGACTTTGTTTTGTCTTTATTCTGGACAAAAATACGCTTTACAACCCAGATGAGGGTCGGTCGGTCGATCTAGCGAGTCAGACAGCTGCTCAGCTCCAGCTTTGTGTTGACAGACTTAAAAATGAAGGAATGTGGACCAAATTAAGGTTAACAACCAGGATTGTTATGTTTGCACAAGCAGTCCTCGACGTGAAATATTCTGCGGACGGCGTTGGAGTGAGCGAGGGTTAGTTTGGGGTGAGATGAATAGTTGCACGGCTTAATGATAACAACGGTTGCTCGGAGGGTCACTTGACCAGGTCGACTGTAAAAACAGGTCCGTCTTAATCTCGATGCTGTGATGAAATACACCGAGTGTCAAACTTACCTTTTGGGCCATGATAGCGATAAATTGCGTCAGGATTTATTTGAACGCTGACACGGGCAGAGAGGTCGGCATCGTCACATTTTTCTCCTTTTGCCTTCGCCAGTACCCATCTGCGGCATCACAAAAAAATGCTTTTGCCGTTATTGCTTTCTATTCTCACCGAGGAACTTTTAGTTGAATCGCTACGTGTGACCGTAGCAGTGCTTGACTTTCAAACTTCCACGGTATTTATATTCCGAATCAATGTCTTAGCTACGGTACTCTATCTAAAAGCATTTGCACAGACGTACATAAACCTCTCCTCTCCATCTGCTTCACAGAGGAATGCCAGTGACTTAAGAGACCTTGGTGCTGTTGACAGGCAGGCTCGTGTGCACGCTCCCTCAGACCCTCGCTCACCTGCACACAATCAGATGCACTACAGCCCCCTCCAAAACCGGAATACCACAGTACACTGCATATGACCCCCACTGCCTGTTTCTGCTTTTGGAACCCTGGGATCCATCCATCCATTTTGTGTACCACTTGTCTTCTTTAGGATCTCGGGTAAACTGGAGCATATCCCAGCTCAGGCAGGATACACCCTGGAATGATTTCCAGGGTGTATCCTGGAACATACTGTATAGACAAACAACCATTCGCACTCCTTTTCACACCTACTGTAAGGACGATTTAGAGTCATCCGTTAACGTTTTGAGACAGCCGGACAAAGTCGGGAGTACTGGAAGAAAACCAACGCAAGCAAAGGAAGCACATGCAAATTCCACACCATAAAGCCAAAATGTAGATTTGAACCGTGAGCCTCCAAACTGTGAGGCAGATTTGTTCAACACTATTTCTTCAATCCTTCGACACCGGGCCTTATTTTCATGCCCAGCACAAGTCTGGCGCAAAGTGGGTGTGAGCTTTGGTATTTTCAAAGACAGACGCAGTTAGCAATGGACGTTAGCGCTCATGGGAAGGAACACGTCCATACCAATTTTTTTTTTTTTTTTGCCTGCTTCATGTTTTTGCCGCACTTCCAGAAAGCCAGTCGGTAAAATAGAGGACGTTCGTCATTTGTGATCGAAGTCGGAACGCATCACGGTCTATCACTAGCACGCTAGTAAAGTCATAATTATGGTAAATGTTTGTACGAAAACACTTCTAGACCTTAAATATGAAATAAGCGAAAAACAGCAACGACAGGGATACAATTTCATTTTTATAATACATACACTTTTGGATCAACCAACGACAGTCTTTTTATGCTCAGTTGTGATCTAAGGAACACGTCCATACCAATTTTTTTTTTTTTTTTTGCCTGCTTCATGTTTTTGCCGCACTTCCAGAAAGCCAGTCGGTAAAATAGAGGACGTTCGTCATTTGTGATCGAAGTCGGAACGCATCACGGTCTATCACTAGCACGCTAGTAAAGTCATAATTATGGTAAATGTTTGTACGAAAACACTTCTAGACCTTAAATATGAAATAAGCGAAAAACAGCAACGACAGCAAAGTTTACCCTCAGCATGCCCTTGTTGCGCCGATATGTTGGGACCCAAAGTAGCCGTTGGCGTACGTCTGCTCGTAACAAACAGTTCGTAAAACAAAATGTCTGCACTCAGTTCAATCTTGGGAGGATGTCTTAGTTTTTGAAGTTGTTTTTGAGGTTTGATGTGTTAAACATGCTGCGGTCAGAAAGTAAACTCCAGTGGGTGTATGTTGAGTCCGCGTCATGTGGCCTCACAGTATGGAGCGCCATCTTTCATCGCTATTTATGTCCGTGCAAAATCATGAGAACCACTTCAAGTAACACAAGGCTGGTCAGAGGGTAACATGTGCTGCACACAAAACCACACCATCTTCCCTCTGACAAGCCAACCCACTGCCTTTGTTTCTCACATTAATCAGATTTCTTTTGGATTTGACATGTGGGCATTGTAGGCCAGCTTCTCAAAACGATACTGTGTTTGTGATGAAAAACATTGCATGTTCCCTGCTGGTGGGTTTTTTGTTTTTTTTTTCATGGTGGAATTTCCAAGTAAATGTTTCCCTTGTGGCTGCAACCACCTGAAGGTTTTAAAACGTCTTGTTCCAGCACTTTGAGGGATTTGTCATATTTATTCTAAGCAAGGTTTGTTTCGCAGCAAACTGTTGTGAAAATCCTGTAGTTTAATTCTAAACTATCGTATTTTCCGCACGACAAGGCACTTCCAAGTATAAGGCAGACCTTCGATGAATGGCCTATTTAAAACTGTTTTCATACATTGGGCGTATCGCATTATAAGGCGCAGAGAATAGAAGCTACAATAGTGGCTGCGGTTGCCTTATGCATCCACTAGATGGAGCTACACTAAAGGGAATACAATACAGTACTGTACAGCTTTATATATAAAGAGCTTTCACAACTGCTTCAGCTGAAACAAAGCGCTTCACAGAACATTTAAAATACTGCATCCAAGAAATCTGAATATTGATCCATATATAATGCGGATCGGATTAGAAGACGCACTGTCGGCTTTTGAGAAAATTGAATGCTTCAGATCGGATTAGAAGACGCACTGTCGGCTTTTGAGAAAATTGAATGCTTTTAGTTGCCCGTATCGTGCAGAAAATATGGTAATTTGTAAATGTACATCTTTATATGTATTACATTTTTCAGTGAAATGTCATCTTACTCGTGCAGAAAATACGGTAATTTGTAAACATATATATTTATATATGCTACATTTTTAAGTGAAAATGTCATCTCACTAAATATTGAATTTACTGAGCATTTTTTTTTCTCTACACCTACTTGAATCGGCTGTACCCCTTTTAAAGTCATGACTTGAAAACACTGACCAGTTGTTTGTCATTTTATGTTTATTTACTTTTTGGAAGTTATTTGTATGAGCTATTAATTTTGGTCATACGCGACCTGGAGCTAGATTTTCTTCTTGTCATGTTTATAAGTTCAGAATGACACCGTTTTGTTAGCTTCATATCAACATATTCGATTGCCTTAACTACTGCTACAATTATTCATTGTTTAATTATGAAAGGTTGCAGAAGATCAGAATACCGCCGGAAGTGCAAATTAAACTTCATTTCAATCACCACTGAACAGAGCAACAACAAAACACAGTTGCTTTAAATATCAGACAGACACAATCATTCATTATGAAGATGAAATTCATGGCAAAAAATTTTTCATAATTTTATAAATACTTATCTTTATTTCAGTATACAAAATAAGAGTATGTACATCCACACAAAAGTGGTTTACAATATCCATGAGTTCATAATGCTCTTAAAAATAAAATATATTTGGAACTGACTGCATGTCATGAGATGTGAAGGATGATTAATCTGCAAGTCCTTTATCCTTTTTTCTTTCCGGTCCACAGGGTTAAAGTCATGCTGAAAAGGCACACAGGACAAACGTGCGGGTCCGGAGTCCAAAACGTTCTGTGTTTAGAACAGTACTTTATGTTCCCTTTTTTTTTTTTTTTTTTTTTGGCTTTTCCTCTCATGTCCATTGATGCAGAAGGAAAAAGTATCAACTGTACCGGAAAAAAAAAAAAAAAACCCACAAGTCCACAGATCTGATCTCATACGTCTCCCTCCAGCTTTAAAATCCAACGTTATTACTTTTTATGAGAGCTATAATAAAATAGACTTTCCTTATCCGCATTGGGGGAATTCATGGTCATTAACAATTTAAAAAAAGAAAAAAAAAACTACCCAGGAGGACGGCGGTCTTCACATAAACTGTCGTCGCTTTCCATGTCCAGTAGAAACTCAACCGACAGTTTGAAAAAATCGATACTAAAGTGATAATGACACTTGGTGGTGAAATACACATGCGAAAGCTGAAGACAAAAATTTGCCTTCTGGGTATTGTAGTGCTTTGGTTCACTCTGGCGGCTCGGTCCGGCCGATGGGTCTCATTTGCAGACGTATCTCTCCACAATCCGCTCGCACTTCTTGCAGGTGACGTAGCAGCACCAGTGATACTTGCAATGGCAGCGTTCCACCAGCTTCTCCGTGTACGGGTTGTAGCCGCGGCCGCAGCACATCAAGTCACAGCTGTCGCTGCCAGCTGAGGTTTTGTTACACTGCCTGCAAATTAGCATAAATAAAGTCAGAAGATTGAGTGAGCACCTTTTGTTTGAAAGACAACCTGTTTCTAGTTTGGTTTCCCCGCAAGGAGACAATTAAGCTAATGGCTTCGTTCTAAACATTTCATCCGCCGGGCCTGTACAAACTCAGAGCTTGTGAAGAGCTCACAATGGCCCTTTAAATATTCTTGACCGAGCGATGCGCCCTCATTTTTTTTTCTCTCTCATTTTTCCTTTTGTCACATCGTCTTTGGGCGCTGGATGCCTCGGATGCTTTCGGGAGCCAATGGACTCTTGAATAGGCGGTGAACAGCTCCGCCATAAATCACATTGAATACACAGGCCCGCCCCCATTTCTCTTCAGTTTGCCCTTTTCCACATTACGGCTCCGTTTTTTTATGACGGCAGAGTGTTAATGACCGGCGTGACGAGAGGGGCGCTTAAGTAAATGGTGGCAGCGGGAGTGTAGAAGAAGAGTGAAAGGCAGGTTTTATTACGTCGTTGGGGAGCTGGGAGATAGGAACACCCACGCGTTCTTTGTATAGTTTTGAAGCAAAATCTCATTAAGACTCATTTGAACTGAAGGTGCGGCAACACAGCAGGACCGGTAGATTTACAGGGTGAGATCATTTCTCAACATCAGTTTTAATTTTAACTCTTTAAAAACTACAGTTTTCATAACCAAAACTAACAAAAACAAACAACTATAGCGAAAAATGTCCATTGTTTTTGTCTTTGTCAATGAATTTAATACACGGGCCTTTAAGGGTTGATTTTTATACATATGTATTCCCGTATGAGCACCATTAGCACCATAAAAAGGAAAAGTCGAACAGTCATCTGGGAATTGTGGCCCTTTTACTGTGTGTCAACTTCAAGTGATGTAATCTAGCGGCAGCCGATTAAAAAAGCGCCACCAAAATGATGTTACTCCAAGCTTGCGGGTTTATGTCTTCCGTTTCATTTGTCATTTAATTCAGCCAGAAGCATGACGCTAGGAGACAAGTGCTCATTTTTTAGGGGGGGAGGGGGGGGGGGGGGCAAGGGATAAAAAAAAAAAAAAAAAACGTATTTTCCGCACTGTGTAGCGCACCTAAAAGCAGTCCATTTTCTCAAAAGCCAACAGTGCACCTTATAAAGAAATAAAAACTGAACTAAAAGAAGGCAATTTTGAAAAGGAAAAACAAAACCTAAATGAACAAACCCATTCTGAAAACTTTTTCAAAACGAATGCATTAAAAAACAAAACAAAACTCACTGTCATGAAACTATTATCAGCCTGTCACTGACGCATACCGCACTAAATTTGCCCTCCTATTCCCCTCCATTAAAACACAAACTATTTCAAGAGTCTCTCTTGCTTCGAGGTCCTGTGAATGTCAGGGCTAACAATGTAGACAGGAGGTCAATTCAAGTGTCAAGACTGATAAAGCCTCTGCTTTAAGTGGCCACCGGTGAGTGACAAATCAGTGGTGTTGCAGTGTAAGGCAAAGGCAAAATCATAAAAGTTTCCCTTTACCGATGCCCTGAGTGTTTCCTCTCACGGCCCACAAATCCGAGTGCCTCGTGATTTTTCGCCAAAGCATTCATGTTGCATGCTCATGCGGCTGCTTGGATATCAGGCAGCAGAAATTGCATCCGGTGAGTGTCCTTGACATGAAGCATGGCTGCTGTTTTATCTGTAAAATGTCCGAAAGATGTCTGATGACGTTCATGTGATATATTAGGATTCTTATTATTTATTTATTAAACATCATTCATTGTGCTGAGTGGTTGGCGACCGGTCCGGAAGTGTAGCCCACCTCTTACGCAAAGCCATCTGGGATACACTGCAACTCAACCATCACCCTGATGAGGACAAGCAGTATAGAAAATGGATGAATAGATGATGTGCTTTGTGGATTTCCCAATATGGTGTGTGTGTTTTTCTGGGAGGGGGCGTGTGATGGACTGCGTCCAACAGAATGCTATTTTAATGTACTGGACTTTTACGTAACAAGTGAAGAGAATGGTTTTGATTGAAAGGTTTGACCCCGTGGAATATTTGAGTACGACAGTGGTACCTCGACTTACGAAATTAATTGGTTCTGGAAGAAATTTCTTAACTAGAAAAGTTTGTCAGTAGAGACGCGTTTTCTATGTAAATGCCCTAATCCGTTCCAAGACCCCCTAAATTCAGACATAAATGTTTTCTAAAGCACAAAATTGCATCAAAATATGCAACAAATACACATTACAATTAGATTATTACACAATAAATGAGAGTTGTGCATCATGTAAAAAACAAAGAAAAGAGTAAAAAATAAAAATGTCGGTCATTTAACTTTTAACTGCATCCTCATCTTCATTTTTTGCCCTCTTTGGTTCATGTTCTCGCTCAGAAGTGGTTTTTGCCTGGCGTTTTGGAAAGAACTGATCCAAGGACATTTGCTTTTGTCGGCTTTTAACAATCCTTTGAAAATGTCCAAGGCAAACATCCGCATAGTGAGCGATCGCCGGACTGGTGAACACTTCTTCTGGGTGATTCACATTTACGTAAAACTATCGGAATGCCTCATGGACTGAGGGGCGACTGACAAAGACACTCCATAGACACATTCGGTAGAGGTCCCTCTTAGCCAATGGGATGCCAGGATGATGCAAGGTAATAGCCAATGGCAAAGCATCTATAAGTATGTTGCGTTCAAGGAACTCGGAAACTGCGAGTGGTAGCCCATATTGTATTTTTACCTTTCGTATCTTGGAATTTCTTCCGTAACAAGAGGCAATATTTTCCTGTTGAGGTGTTTCTTAACCTGAACATTTAGTATGAAGAGACGTTCGTAAGTAGAGGTATCACTACTTCCAGTCCTTCTAATGCACATGTGTTGAAATCAGGGCGTGGGGGGCCAGATCTGGGCCGCCCCGTTATTTTATGTGGCCCCGGCAACCAAATTATGTGCTTCGACAACATGTTTCTCTCCAAAATATCAAAATTTCAAGTTGTCTTCACTTTTAAAGACATTGAAATATCGCAAGCATTTTTTTTTTTTGTTACCAATCCCCCATTTAAAATAAATAAATGTTGAGCAAATGATTTTTACCGGCCTTCTGATTTCAAAACTAGTTACTCATCAATTTGCTGTGTTTATGTAATATGAGGCGACCATATAGTCAACCCTTGGTTTTCGAACGTCTTTGTTATCGACCAAATCGGATTTCGACCAGAAAATTCGAGATTTTTACGCCTCGGATTACGACCGAAAACCGTTTTTTCGACCAAATTCAGCAAACCTGAATACGCCACTTGACTCCTCTCAGCTTCCTGACACGAGGAAGTGACGCTTCCTCGTGTAGCGTTCATTGTGAGCAGACATGTTTGTTGTGATTTACGCAAATCTGACAGTTTTTGTGTTATTTCTGCATAGTGTATTAGCCCCTAATCATGGGCTAATACAATAGTTTCAGATTTCCAATAAATCACTTTTCAAACAGCCTTCTGGAATGGATTATGGTCGAAATACGAGGTACGACTGCATTTATTTGGGTTTATGGTCATAACAGCCCTTCGAAGGAAACCATAACTACCATGTGGTCCGCAACAAATTAGTTGTGCGAGTTATGAGTCAAGCATTCCAACGTATTGGGTGAATACTGCGAGCCAACGCTATAACAATACATTTACAGCCTTTAAATATGTAAAACAAAGTAAACAAGACTGTGATGACTGCATTTAGTTGGACAGGTTGGCAGTGGAGTTACAGTAATTTCTTTCCTCTGTATTTTGGCTCATGGACAACATATCTCAGCTTTCACACGCAATTTGAGGTAATCCAACATCTCGTTGATTAAAATGAAATGTAATCTGTGGCAAACTTTATTTATTTATCTATTTATTTTTTGGGTGGAGAAACTCCTGCAACTGCGAGTTGTTATTCTCAAACGGTGCTTTCGGTGTCATGCAAGCACAACAGATCGTCTGTGCTAAAGCATGTCCTTCTCCAAAATACGTTTAAAAAAAAATCTTCAATACGTTTCAAAGATAATGTAGCATATTTTCCCTGTGATACTGGTTGGCCAGATTTCAGGATGAGTGAGTAAGACCCTCAGACAGAATGACTCCTTTGCTCCCTACCACACACAGTCCGGACTTGGAGAGAGCAAAATGGTGTCAGCTAACTTTTATCTCGAGGAAACCTTGATGCTTCCAAATCTGTGCGCGCCCCTTCAGTTGATAACTGTTTTGGAGTTCTCGCGGGCCCAGGAATAAGAGCATTAGTCACTGTTTCAGATAATAAAAGCACAAGGACCCCAGTCACAGTGGCCTTCTTCAGTGACACGTGCTCAGACAAGACGCAGACAGAGAGTACTCTCAGGTTGTTATCACCCAGCCCGCTAACTAAACCGTGCCATCGGGTAGAACATCACTTTCCTAAAGTCAACATCCTGGATGAGTTGACCGTCAGGATTGGTCATTTCCTATCTGCTGCTGTGTGGCTTGGCTTTGGCATTGTTCGATTCACTGAATTAAAGAGCCTTCTTAAGCCACGTTTTCACACAGCAGCAGAGTTCAGGTCGCATCCACAATTTAACCCTTTCAGGGACGGAGGGTACTACAGTGGACAGCTTGTCATGTTATCAGGTTACAGGGTGCATGAAAAGGTTAAGCCACTTTTTGACCACAGTTATAGGTCAGGTGGACATGCTGCACAATGACTGGCTGACCATTGGCAGGACTGCAATAAATGCGTCAGCTACATAAACAGTCCGTTATAGCTAGCAGACAGCATGGAACGTGCAAATGTCATGAGAATTATTCAAGAAGCTAAGCAGTGCTGGATGCCGTCATTATCCAGGAACTTAAATGGTGTAAATTCCTGTAAATTGCTACAACAACTGGTACGCCAACACACATTTTCGGAAAAGTGGGTTTTGGAACTTTGTGGCCGTTTGCAGTGGAAACACCAAAAAATGATAATGGGTGGCCAAAGTGACAAAATTACTGACTAAGGGGTGGCTGTAAAATGAGATGCACATGCACGCACGCATACAGTCAACCACCACCATTGGTGGGGGATGGGGACCGGAAAATCGACAATAATTATTGAAAATAATTGACACTCATTGAAATGCAGTGGGAATTTTGTCTTTTGTCTTTAGAAACCCAGGAAACTATTCTTTTTTTCTTTTTTTTATGTTGATAAACATTCAATACTGTATATGTTTTCCAAGAAAAACTGATGGGATGGGGGAGGGAGAATCCTGGGGGGGAACAAACAAAAAATAATTTCCCGGTAAGAATATTAAAAACACACTGGATGATTTTTTTTGTTTTTAACCCGCAAATATATGAACCACGCGTCCACTGTATCTCATAGTCTATTTCTGTTTCGTTTGCTAGCTAACTGCCAATCAGAGGGATCAATTGTCTTCGATGGCCGACGCCATTTTGCATTCTGGCGATTGACGACTCATTCATTCAACTCACAACCAAGAAACGCAATGACACAACGACGGTTTAATTTTTCAAAATTTCAAACATTGGATTTTACTTAGTTTTTTGTGGGTTTTTGCTGTTGTTGCTGTTACTGTTTTTGGTTGAAACTCGCCCCTTGGAATTATGAATTCTCTTCCGACCAATCTGTATACATCAGTGGTGGACCATCGGGGCCTTGAGGACCTTCTCTGCTGGCCTAAAAATATATCTGAATCACAGACTGATGTTAATTATATATTTTTTTCCATGAATACTTCAAGAATTAAATGAAGTAATTCCAAATGGTCTGGCATATATGGCAACATCATGGCAACCAGCCATGGCTAAATAGTCACCCCACAATGGCTGAGGGAGGAGAAAAAATAAGATTTGGCGGCAGATTAACTGTCAGGGCCATTTTCAAGAGGGACTTGAAGAAACGATGGACATTATTAAGAACCGTCATAAAACTCCGAAGCGAGCTAGCCTGTCAGAACCAGTGAGAGGACTCGGCCGCTGCTTTCAGGTCAGCCCGAAAGTGAATTTAAACTTAGGCCGCAAATACAGCAGGGCATCAATAAAGATCGAAAAGAACTTCTTGATGGGGCTGAAGCGTACTTATTGTGACTACAGGAGTTATCTACCTGTGATGCAACGGCTCTTGATACTGTATTTCAGCATAATAAGATGATTTTTAAAATCCTAAAATAGTTGGGAGGAAGGACAGATGGATTCAGACGGAGCAGTACTGAATATAAACACACACATACGTAGTCTATAGATCTTAACTTTTCCTTCTCTAGCAGCAAACTAAGTGCAATATTGTGAAAAGCATTCTCACCTGTCCTGTGTGCCGACCGAACCTTGTTTGTCATTCTTGGTACAGAAGTCCGGGGAACTCTGCAGGTAGACCAGCTCGTTCTCCCTTACAGGCCTGATGTCAATGTCTTTGGGCACCAGTTGCTTGCGTGTCCCCATCGGTCTGTGAACCACCTTCGTAGCCGACAAGTACTTAGTCTTCAGCTCCATGGCGATCTCTCTCAGGTCCTGAAGGCCTCGCCAGCAGGTCCTTATAGAGCAGGAGCCGGATACGCCGTGACACTTACACTTCATCACCACTGCTTCCCTCAATACCTGTCAACAGAGAACATGTGATCAGTTCACCAAGAGAGCAAAAAGGAAATCATTTTCTTCAATAGGACGACATCTTGCTCACCTGTCTACCGACTTCACTGTTGTGCAGGTGCATCAGTTTGTTGGCATGGGAGCCTGCACGTTTCATTTTCATGGGAGCATCTGCAAACTTGGAACCCATGATCAACCCGTAGTGCAGGTTGTCCGCGCAACCCCCCCAGCGATAGCCTGGCTCCGGGATCTCAGCCGGAATGGGCCCACACGAGCACAGACGCAAATCTCCAGTGGTGCATGCCCTTGCGATGGTGTGGCTAATAGTGGCGGCAGAAAGGGCGTAGACAAACGCAGACTCTCTGGTTCCTGGCCAATGACACCACAAACAACTAACACTCAACAGGCTGAAAATAAAACGACCGGTACCGGCCTTTGCACTTGGACTGCAGACATAGAAAACATTCAAAGATGGATGAGAAATCCATAACCGCCTTAATCTCCTCCCATCAGTGATGCCATCAAAAACTGGAAGTGAACAATAAAGGAGTCAGTAGGGAAAAAAATGTTCAGGGAAATGAGACGTTTGCTCCGTGATCTTGTCATTTCATGAAGACGTCACGTAACGCAACAAATCATTTGTCTGTGTGGCTGAATTATCACGACACAATGTCATCCCGTGCGGAGTTTGCATGTTCTCTCCGTGCCTGCGTGGGTTTTCTGCGGGTACTCGTGTTTCCTTCCACATTCTAAAAGCAACACATGGTCGGTTAATTGAACCCTAAATTTGTGATTGTGAGTGCAAATGGTTATTCGTCCAAGTGGCCTGCGATTGGCTGGCGACCAATATAGGGTGTATCCCGCCTATTGCCTGAAGACAGCTGGGATACGCGCTCCAGCACGCCCATGTCCCTCGTGAGGATAAGTGGCTCAGATAATGGATGTTCAATTTTGAGTGAATCCATTTGTAGCATTTCTTTCACTTCCATCCATTTTCTGATCCGCTTATCCTCACAAGGGTCGCGGGGCGTGCCGGAGCCTAGCCCTTCTAATCTAATCTCTTCCGGCGGTAGGTGGGGAACACCCTCAACTGGTTGGCAGCCAATCGCAGGGCACACATAGATGAACAACCATCCGCATGCACAGTCACACCAAGGTACAATTGAGTGTATTCCCAATAACCTGCCATGAATGTTTTTGGAATGTGGGGAGGGAACCGGAGTACCCGGAGAAAACCCACGTCGACACGGGGAGAACATGCAAACTCCACATAGGAAGGCCTGAGCCGGAATAGAACCCATGACCTCTGCACTGTGACACAGACGCACAAACCAGTCACCCACTGGGCCGCCATTTCCTTAACTTATGTTTGTAAATGTAAGTATCCTAGATTGTGCAGGTGTACTTGATGTCAGTGCGGGCAAAATTATGCTCTTAAATTTACTTGGAATTGATTTGCATTTATGGTAATGGACTTCCAAAGACGAGCGCATAATATATGTCCCAACTGTCGTACAGAGCGAGCACGGAATCAATTGGCAACGGTGTGTGGAAAGCATTCATCGCTCGGGACGGTAGTCATAACCCAGAGAAATCATATGTGACTGAAGAATGACCATCTTTGGATAGAGACAAGACAGTAAAAGAAAGCATTGGCAGCACTCTGTTGGAGTGGTTACATTTGCCTCACAGTCAAGAGATCCCAAGTTCTACTCTTGGCTAAATGCTCTCCAGTCGTAAACAAAGAGTGGCTTTTGATGCATTTCGATTCTCGTGTCAATTTGTAAATGAAAATACTGTAAATTTCATGGTCTTACCTCGGTCAAGGTCTGGAGGATACTTGGAAGAATCGCCGGGAATTTCTATGGAGGAGCAGTTCCAGCGCATGTCAGCAAAGGTCTTTTGGCACGTTTTCTTGACTTCGCGGGCTGCTTGGATGATGGTTTGCATGAGTTCCATGTTGCTGCGGCACAGCTGAGCTTGGGACGACACCAGGCCAGGCAACAGTTTACAGTGTTGGGTCTGGTTGATGTGTAAGGTCTTGGGTGTGTGCGATATTGCTCTGTGGCGTAAAAAGAGAAGGGAAAAAAAAAAAAAGAGGTCACGCACAGAAATCACTTATAATTGGAATCGGGATGGTTGTCTTCGTGTGTGTGTGTGTGTGTGTGTGTGTTTTAGATGTAAAATGATCGTTATTTCGTTCTAATACAAGCATCGTATCACTAATTGCATTACTAATACTGTAGTCAAATTAGAATGATTCACACAGGGTTCCTACTCTTCCACTTGCTTTTTATTTATGGAACTTTCAAGGACTTTTGAGGGCTAATTTAGCCGTTTTTAAAGGACCTTTTCTCCATTCAGCAGGGGATTCACGGTGGATTTAATGCCCGCTCAGCAACAGAACAGAAAGCCACATATCACTGAGCTGTTGTTCAAATCATTGCTGCCAAAGGAAGGGCACATTTTTATTTTTAGGGGCAATCAGCTAACCCTTTATTTGACATACTGTGTCAAATTTTCATTTTCCTACCCGTATTACAAGTAGGAACATGAAAAAAACTTGAATTCATTCTCAAATAAAGTACACTAAGAAAAAATGTAATTTAGAAAATATAAAACTTAATTTATTTTCGAATAAAATTTATTTTTAAAGGATTTTTATTGATTTTAAAAGCTTTCCCTGAAAATTAAGGACAATTAAGAACATAATTGTACAACTTCTTTTTTTATGGATTTTTATGAACTTTAAGGACCCGTGGGAACCCTGTCACACTTTCAGAGTTGTGTCACGAGCAACAATTAGCTGTTGGGAACAATTTGTTTTATGTCGTTTAGCTACTTAAATGGAGGACTAAAGGCTATGTATGGGAAGTGTTTCATTGTCAGGAAATTTGAATATATGCAGTTGTATTAATCCTTTCACGCACCCTGTAACCTGCTAATGTGATAAGCCGTCAACTGTCGTAACCGCTGTCCCCAAAAAATAGAAAACGTTTCTGGAGATACTTTTGAGGTGACATCCATACCTTGAGGAAAATTAGTAGCAGATCCATAAAACATATTTGACACATTTTTGGCTCTGACCCTTTTTGTCCTTACAGTGCAGAACTGGCGATGAGATATTCCTCCAAATACCCAACTACAAGAGATAATATCAATCACCATTTTCCTCACCATATCTATTTGGTACCATGGGAGGTTTTGTCGTCCTTGGCCTCAGTTCAGTGTTAGTGATCTATTTATATCCTATTCAAGGAACGTATTGGATTTATCATATCGTATTTAGATTGAATATTTTTACAGAGAAACCCCAGGCAGGGGCGGCTGTCTCAGATTTATACTCTTGAGAAACATGCGGTGATGCAGGGAAGCAACCCGGGCCTGTTTTATACTATCGTGTCTCTGTGGGGGCACTGGGCAATTCCCAGTGATCAGCTGTGACGGCACGCCGCTCATAGTGACTCGCAGGTGTTTATTGTCACATCTGCTTAGGCATCACGTCATCACGACTCCACGCTTGGATTTAGCATGACGCACGTGCCTAAATCCTGGTTTAATACAGTATGTAGAGATGGCTATTTCTGTCTCGAGCGTGACTGCAACCCAACCGGTCAAGGCAGATGTCTACCCCCCACACCCAATGAGACATAATCCTGCCCAAGTTTTTATTTCATCCATCCATCCATCCATCCATTTTCTGATCCGCTTTATCCTCACAAGGGTCGCGGGGCATGCTGGAGCCTATCCCAGCTGTCTTCGGGCAGTAAGCGGGACCCTGAACTGGTTGCCAGACAATCGCAGGGCACACAGATACGAACAACCATCCACACTCACACTCACACCTAGGGACAATTTAGTGTTCAATCAGCCTTCCATGCATGTTTTTGGAATGTTGGAGGAAACCGGAGTACCCGGAGAAAACCCACGCAGGCCCGGGGAGAAAATGCAAGCTCCACACAGGAAGCCCGAAGCCGGAATCAAACCCTGCACCTCTACACTGTGAGGCCGACACGCTAACCCACAGGTGTCAAACTCAAGGCCCGGGGGCCAGATCTGGCCCGCCACATTATTTTATGTGGCCCGCGAAAGCAAATCAAACATGTCAACTTCCATGATGCTTGCTAAAATCTCGACCAAAATTTAAAATTGTCATATTTAATAAATAAGAGACATATTGTCAACATTTTGTTGATACCAAACCCCTCATTACATTAACTTAAACAATAGTTAAATAAACCGTTATTATTGACTTTTTTATATGGTTTCAGTTCAAACGGCCGTCCAAGGGAAACGGTAACTAAAAGTTGGCCTAAGACAAAAATGGGTTTGACACCCCTGCGCTAACCAGTCGACCACCGAGGCCGCTTACGTTTTTATTCCGTCTGCGAAATTGTTCATGTGGTCAGTCAGATGCTTCATATGAAAAGTTGCAACATTTTTTGCACAGCTTTAACCTTTGCAGCTTCAACGATGACGTATCACATTATCAATTGTTGATTTTTAGCTCATTTTTGAGTCATCAAAATATTGTTTATTGTTTTTCCATGAACTCCACGTCAACAGTGTTCACATTTTGAAATCAAATTAACAAAACATTGAAGCAGTGGGATTGAAATTCATTCTGCGCCATGCAATCACACACGCGCGCACGCGCACACACACACACACATACACGCACGCACCATGCCAAAGACATGACGTAAAGCCTATGATGCAGCCAATGCGCGTGAACTTGAAGTAAATAAATTGACCCCAAGATTATAGACGCTATTCTTTGCTGTTAATATTTGGTTGGTAAAATATATAGTGCTGATGATAATTAGAATAACTTATTCAATAATTTAGAGGGTTTGATGCCCGCTGTGGTCATATTTATGAATGAGATACGATGACACCCACCACAAATGTCTGCCGTGTTCACGCATCTGTCTGCCTGCACCTCGAACAAATTCACCAAACTCGCACCAAAAGTTAGACGTCGTCCGAGAAGTATAAATTTACATCAACTTTTAGCCACCGATTACACACCTTCGCGAGCAAAGCACAGAGCAGTCTGTCAGATTCCCAAACAGGCACGGCGAGTCTTGTACTTCCATGAAAATCAGGACACCCCGGCATTTTGCATGCACCGTCTACAAAAATAAAGCCCATGGTGTAATGCACCCATTATTTGTTCCAGAACAAATCTCAAGCTTTTTCATCTCTGCCATCTACGTGGACGGAGGTTTGATAACTTTGAGGATTGGTCATGAAAAAGGCGGTGTGAGACGAGGGCCCAGTCGTCGCTGCTTTTGGCTTTCATTCTTGGTAATATTGTTGACTTTTTACTGCGATAAAAATAAAACCGCGGCCCAGTAGTCTAGTGGTTAGCACGTTGACTTCGCAGTGCAGAGGTACCGAGTTCAATTACAGCTCCGGCCTCCCTGTGTGGACTTTGCATGTTGTCCCTCTGTCTGCATGGGTTTTCTCCGGGTACTCCAATTTCCTCCCAGATTCCAAAAACATGCATGGCAGGCTGATTGAACACTCTAAATTGTCCCGAGGTGTGAGTGTGTGCGTGAATGGTTGTTCGTCTCTGTGTGCCCTGCAATTGGCTGGCCACCGGTTCAGGGTGTCCCCCGCCTACTGCCCGAAGTCAGCTGGGATAGGCTCCAGCGCCCCCCACGACCCTAGTGAGGATAAAGCGGTTCGGAAAATGAATGAATGAATGAATGAATAAAACCAGCGACACACACAGATTTGCATTCACGGCTCTCTGTTCTCATCACACACACACACGTGGCCTCACAAGGATATGCCAAACAGGACCACAAATCTTCAGACTTCTCTCCCTTGCCATCTCCATCTTTGCCTTTCGAAAGTTATTACTGTGATTATTATACACCGTGGTAAATTTCGTCGGATAGCTTGAAAGTCAACTTCGCCCGTTTCTGTTTACTGAAGCCGCATCCAAGTTATTAAAAGAGGTTTCCAGTCATAGCCAGAGGAACTGCCCGTTCAATCTACTTTCCTTTTCATGACATACACGTGGACTGAACATTCAAGCTTTTCCTCTCATCAGGATCAACTTCAAGGATCAACTTCAAGAATGTCGGGGCCCACTTCAAAGCTGCCACGGGGGCTTCACCCCATAAAAGGCCACCCCATGCATAAAAGCGTCACACGACGTTGCATCGTTTCATGACGTCGTGTGAACTGGTGGATTGCGATTGAGGGAAATGGATACTTACAGCCATTTGATGCCGGAGCAGACCTGAGAGAGCAGCAGAGCGGCAAGCACAGCGAGAGGCAGGACGTGACAGCACCTCCTCATGGTTGACGGTGACTTTGATTCGCCAGGCGCAAAATTATAAAGGGGTCGGTTTACGCTTTGTGACCTCACAGCTTCACCGTCATGGCAAGGTCTTGTCTGTTAAACCCTATTGTAAGAAGAACACAATTCATCAATGACCTTTAGCGACATTTTCATGACAGCCGAATATCCTGAAACATTTTAGAGCGCCAATTTTTTTCGTGTCCGGCAATATTAAAAAAAAAAAAGCAATTTCCTCCCTTGACCACAATTTCTCTCCTGACCACATTTATCCTCAAACTCTTAAGACGCAATTCAAAACATAGCCTGACTGAAATTATCCCCAATAAATGAATACCTTTCATCACACAGAAACCCAATGAGTGTAACTTTAAGAAAGACAGTATGCACTTTGTAATATATACACATGACGTGATCTACGTTAAAAAACATTCATTGCAAGAAAATTGACAGATAATTCACTTTTGAATTTATCGCAGTGACCAAACTAACATTACTGTATACGTTGCACCAACATTTTATTTTAATGCCATTCACCCACTATCTATATATCTATACATCTCTATATATAGTATGCACATACACACACGGACACTGAATGAGCGGCTTGCACCCTGGACTGGACTTTTAATGCGTGCCGCGGTGAAACAAGCTTATTTTCTGGATTTTGTCATGTTCTTTGCCCTCCTCTCTTTGAGGAACTAAAATATATCGCCCGCGTTTAACTTCATTAGTTTACCTGTAGGTTTTGATTTAAAAAAAATTTTTTTTTAGTTGGGAGTTACAAATTGGATAAAGTCTTATCAACAACAATTTATATGTAGTGCACTAAAAATGAAATAATATACATAGAAAAAAAAAGCCAAAGGCAAACATTAACTGCGTTGAATTTCAAATTGACTAAGCACATTCCAATTCCGATGTTATTTTTGGGAAAACCCAGTATGTAACTAGGCATGTTTTGGCTTTCGTTTCTTGTGTAGTCCCTGAAAGCGATATTCAACTTTTGCATTGTTTCATTCGAGACAACATGTACAAACGCATGTCTGCTCAAAGGGAGAGGTGTCGAAGTGACCTTCACAAGGGCATCTTGGTAGCGCTCTGAAGCTGACACCGCCCCACAGCAACCAGTCCCAATTTTATACTTGATTCAAAGTGGATATTCTGCTCCTGTACTTTAGGAGGTGGCTGTTTATCCATATAGTGGTTGTCAACCTACCACTTTGCAGTCATTGAGCCAGCTTCATACACTGAGTTACTGCAATACAAATACACATGGTAAAGCAGCCGAGCTAGTATTTGTATAATGGTAACATAACTTTCCAAAAAAAAAAGTGGTTGTTGAATGTTTTTCTTTGTTCAGATACCGTGAATGAATGCGTTCTAATCCAAAGGGAGTCAGCAGCGTGCCAGTCACCTCCTTCGTTTGCTCACATCATCACAAGTCTGCGTTTCATCTTGGCGTTACTGCCACTTCGCTAAACATGTAAAAACATTGAAACAGCCCACGTGAGCTCAGTAATCCGCAGCCTGCGGACATCAGCAGCGGCAGTATCTGATAGCGCGGGGGGGCTGCCGATAAGTGATCTTTTTGAAGTGCGCTTAAGTGAGCGCATTAAAAAACGCACAGGTAGGAGATAATAAGCCTTTTAATGCTGATGGACAGAAACCCAAAGGAAACGACTGAAAAATCCTTTCGTGCGATAAAGTAGACGAGTGCGGCTATTAAATGTTACAGCCACAAAAAAAAAAGGAAATACATACATGAATACATTCGTTTGGATATTTACTGTTGTATTATTGCCGCTGTAGGGTGCAAACGCATGGTGGGGGTGGGGGGGGCGATATGTAAAGGAGATTAACAAACGGTCATTCAAATTCATTCAGATTGCATCTCCAGTTTCGCCGACAGGATGTTCTCGATGACCGCAATCAACAACTTTGCGTCACATTCCAAACGAAGCGCTCAATCGTAAAAGTATTCAAATCGTGTTAACGAGCAATATTTTTGAATATAATGTCTTCATTGTTAAGTATTTTACATTTAGCAAGACGTTGATAACTAAACGCTTTGATATTTCAATAAACTTTTTTTCAAGTATACATTCAAACCAATTGGTCTCTGTTGAACACTTCAGTTAAGCGTTGCGGTACATGTGTGTATTTAAAAAAATACTGTCTTAAAAAATAGGATTATGCTCGCACTTTATATTTTTATAAATATTTTCGTCTTGAACATCAAGTATTTTTTTGGTCACACAACAACATCCGACAATATTCTCACATTTTATCAAGCAAGTTGCAACTCACCCTTTTTTTTTTTTTTTACTCGGCAATCCGCTTTCCACGTTAAATCAAACAATTGTAAAGAAATCACACGGCTGCAGGTCCGAATGTCCTAGAAGGGAAAGTCTTTTTTTGTTTTTAGCCAGATGCGTCCGAAAAATCCAAAATGGGAAGTAAGAATAATTCCGGACAGGTACGCATGTTGTGTTTTCCAGAGCGTTGAGCGCGTGTGCGTACGAGACTGTGTGAGAAAGACGGACAGAGAGCGGAACTAAAGTTGGGCTGGATCAGAGCAAGTGAGCCTGAGAGGGCAGACTCGGCTCTAAAATACCCCAGCCCACTTTTGATGTGGCTTGCTGATGTCACACCTGCATTAGCATAACAAAGCGCGCCGCCGCGACCTGACAGAGGCGCGTCCATGTGCTTGCCCCAGTAAACGATAAAATTTTACATGACTACAGAGGCTCAAATATTCACAATCTGTGCTTAAGCAGAAGTTCAGATACTTGAGTTGAAATATATAAATAAAGACTCCGGTAAAAAGTAGAAGTAAAAAGTAAACACACGTTTACTGTCAATTATATACAATCCTGGAGCCCACCTGTTTTCGAGAACCCCCCAAAAATAAAAAATTAAAAATTAAAAAAATCAATTAATCTGTTCCAGACTCGATTAAACACCACCATCAAGAAAAATATCTCTGTATTGTAAAATATAAAAAAATAAAATAAAACAGAACAACTGATCATGTAAGGATATAAACAGGTTTTTATAAAGATGAAAGTCACAAACACATACGCCATCGCAACATCAGCAGCTCTTGTGTAGATAAACAAAAGGACCAAATATTATATCAATACCTCTGTTACAGTGTCAATGCGTTATCGTTAATTTAGCATAATCTTTGACTCTGCTCTTGTTACTTGGATGTTTGTGGATTGTGCAATTTTACCTTATGTTGTGGCTAGTGTGTGTGGTTAACATTATTAACAAAGGTTATGCCTTTTTCAAAATACTGCGCAAGTATCATATTTCGTTTTTCGGATATTTTCCCATTTCCATAATACACAAATACCATATACAGTATATGCCAATAACAACAAATAACCCCAAATTAATTATTCATTCGAAACAAATTTCGATTATTTAATGCATATTGAATGCAAAGCATTTAATTGTCAGAAATCATTTTTCAACATAATTTTTTAGACTTAGGCTGTTTTTTGTTATTCTAAGAGTTCTTGTGATGCACATTAAAGATGCATTATGTATGTTGAATAACTAACTCATAATTTCCCATCATGCAAAAAAATATATATATATTTGCATGGATGCAATTTACTGGTCACAATGTGCTTTGAAGGACAGCCAAAAAAATCTGTCTCGTGTCGCATCGTTTTTTTTCCTTCATCAATGTGAACCACACTCCAGTTAGTGATATGTTGCGCAGCCAACTGTGGAAAACCAAAATTCGCGTTTCCTGAGACTCTTCTGCGCCTCAAGTGCTTCGGCAGAGACAGAAGTGAGTGAGCTGTTGGCCAGACCTTGACCTTCCAGGTGCTCGAGCTAACATGCTTGGCCTCAAGTTGTGCTGCAGCTTGGGTGTTGCCAGGCTTTTCTTTTGTAGCCCATGCACTTACAGATCTCAAGAATCCAGCAACAAGCCTGCTTCCATCAAAAGCACCACAATGAGGGCTGTTTGAACCTACTACACTCCATTTATCTAACACACTGCCCTGATCGGAATAAATACCATGACGCAGTGCATTAAATGACGAATCAAAACCTACAGGAGATACATTTCAAAGTTCATTGGGTAGGTGTACCTAATGTAGTGGCCAGTGAGTGTATGTTTCGGATTGTGGTTCCGCTCAGATGTGTTTTACATTGCAGTCAACTGTGAATGGGCACAGATTGTTACATATGTGGGTGTTGCGGAGCTTCCAGCCGGACCGGGCCCGCTTTCAAAAAGACTTTTTACACTCAGCCTCTTCATTCCTGAACTTAGGTCAACACCCAAAAGCCTTTGATTTTCTCCCACAACTCTCACCTTCTGAATAAAAGAGGAGAGAGGGGATGGCACCTTTGGGGAGACGTAGGGTACGTGCCACGTTAATAGTTCATGATTGTGAAACCACTCATTTCAGAGCTGAATCAGAGAAGAGGTAGTATTCGTCACAAAAGCTTTCCAGAGGTTGTCAAGAAAATTTGCTATATTTCAATAAACGGAACACGATTGTTTTCAACAAGATGTGGAATGACCATAAAATACCTGTAGATGTTTGGAATAGAGCAAATCAACGGTATCCCAATTGATGAAACAGCTCTAGAAACAAAAGGTAATGCCCACGATTTTGATATCATCCAGCTAAAATAAAGCAAGTGTAGTATTTCCCCAACTAATGCTGAATCGAAACTACCCAACTGGGAGATGGACTTACTATAGCTTCTCCCACGTTTTACTGTGTCAGCATATTTGTGTACAGGGTTTAAAAAAATATTTGCAGAAAAAAACCCAACCCTTTGTGGCTTGGATTCAGACAGAACTCACAAACTTTAGCGCACAGGAGGTGCTACACTGCCTTTAAATATCAAATGTGAGCATGATGAAGTCATAATTGAATTGTTTTTCCTCTTTCTATATTTCCAATTCATTTGGCCAATTAAACTGCTTCACCCATCACTCTGTTCTCTGTACTGCTTATCATCACAGGGCCGTGAGAGGCCAGTCAAGATATGATAAATCCAAGAGGTTCATGAATCATAATGAATGAGCAACCTGTGGACTATACTGCATGAATTTGCATCAATTTTAACCCTTTCATGCACCCCGTAACCCGATAACATGATAAGCTGTCCACTGTAGTGACCGCTGTCCCTGAAAGAGTTAAAAACATCAAGGATCACAAGATCACAAGGCTCCACCTGATGATTGCCGTTATGCAGTAGAAAAAAAAAAACCATGAAGTAGTAACATAGGGTGACTGTCAAATTTTACCTGCTTAAGGACGTGATCAGATCAGACGTGAAAATCCCATTTCATTCCAGGGTCTGCCGTGGTCCATGGTGGAAATCGCCAGAGAGAAAAAAAAAAACGTCTGTCCAATCCGTGCACCATAGGACATGATTAGTTTCCAAATCTTTTGCACGCCATTTGGTTTGAACCCCTCCTCTCTATTGTGCTTTGAAGACAAAGCCCTTTCAAGTAACAGATGGGTGGCACTTTTGAACACGTCATGTGGTCCTCCAGGAGTGCCATGAGCCTGCAGAACAGACAAGACCAGACTTTGGGGGGGATCATTTGGAAAAATAATACAAGATGCTTATGTAATAATATGCATTGTGGAATTTCATTAATCAACCCAACAATTTCTTGAAATCAAATGACCTTTTTGATAAATATCAATCTGGGTTCCGACCTCATCACACAAACAGCTCTAATTAAAATACTAAATAATAAAAGATTGAACACTGATGCAAAAAGAGTGTCAGTTTGGATCTCAGTGCAGCATTTGATATAGTAAATTATTTTATACTGTTGGACAGGCTGGAAACTTGGGTCAGACGAAATGGAACAATCCAAAAATAGTTCAGGTCCAACTTGCAGGACAGGAGTTAATTTGTAACCATTAGAAGTTTTAAATCTGATAGAGTGGCCAAGACGTGGGGTCCCTCGAGGGTCAGTCATAGGACCCCTTTTTTTTCAGCATGCATATGTTAAACCAAGGGTCAAATTCTTCAGAATTGCTCATGTTGCCTTATCATGACTATGCAGATGATACACAGGTATACAGTATGTCTCAATGTCCGCAAGAGACAGCAGTTCAAGTAAGATGCTGTGTCACTGTCTAAAACAAATTAATAAATGGATAAACCGACATTTCCTTCAACTGAAGCAAAACAAAACTGAGGTAATTGTTTGAGGCAAATAATAGTTTAGACCCTGTTTACTTACCAAGCGCAAGTCTAGCGCAAAGCGGAGTCTAACTGTGCGCATGAATGGAGTTTTCTTTCTTTTGGCATTTTGCTAAACTTTGCACATGTAGAATTGGGCGTAACTGGGCGTTTGAATCTTTGTGTGCTGTTGTGGGGCGGGCAGAAGTAGCTTTTACCAGGTCAATCCTTGGGACATCACTCATTTGCGTCAAAATCAGGGCGGTCCAAGTGCAGTACACTCGAGTACACCTTGCTTGACTTTGCGCAAACAGAAATAGACTTGCAAGAGTCCGTGCATGAAATTGGCAGGCAAACTGCAAGCTCTCTCCTTGCGGATGATGTAGTTGGCCATGCATATGACGTGGGTCGAGACAGTCTTGTACCCCCAATCTTGTACTCTCCCAGCAATAGTTAAATTTGTTCAATGAATTGACATCGACAATGACTCAGAGACATTGTCCCAAGCTGATGTCATTTTTATGAATGAAATCCGGTGACATCCACTACACATGTCCGCGGAGCGCCAAATTTGTCCACCTGCGCCTCGATCAAATACAATAATGTTAGATCACCTGCTCTGCACGATATACTGTACTTGGTTGGAGCCAGTCTAAAATTCATGATTGCACAAGTCTGCTTAAACATTTTAAAACTTACCAACATGCATATGATTAGGCTGAAGAAAACAGATCCCATATTTTAAATCAAACTTAGCTGCAAATGCTTCTCTTGCTCTTGGTGGGGGGGAATTTTCATCCAAGTCTGGAATGCTTGATTTAATTGCAGAGGTCTTTGCAAATGCACCAGAGCTGCAAAGAAATCACAAGGACAGTCACCATGATCTCGACAAGCATGAGTTTACTTTCACCCTTTCATGCACCCTGTAACCTGATAACATAATCAGCTGTCCACTGTAGTAACCGCTGTCTCTGAAAGGGTTAAACAATGCAATTGATACATTGCGTCCATGCATGTGCTTCTGATGATGAATATACCAATTTTTTTCCCATTCTGGTTGGAAGATGAGCACGAGAGCATCCTTTCATGAGTCCAAAAGCATTTGAAATACCTCACTACATGAGGGGCATGCTGGAGCCTATCCCGGCTGTCTTCGGGCAGTAGGCGGGGGACACCCTGAACTGGTTGCAAGCCATTCGCAGGGCACACAGAGACGAACAACCATCCGCGCTCACACTCACACCTAGGGGACAATTTGGAGGGTTCAATCAGCCTGCCATGCATGTTTTTGGAATGTGGGATGAAACAGGAGTACCCGGAGAAAACCCACGCAGGCACGGGCAGAACATGCAAACTCCACACAGGAAGGCTGCAGCCCGAATTGAACCCTGCACCTCCGCACAATGAGGCCGACTTGATGCCACTGAATAATTCAAGCCAGAGGTTTTGCTTGTGATACTGAAAATACTAGCCTGTCGGCCTCCTCTTATTTTCCCTTGGAAATGAAACCTTGAAATAAAATCCACCTCAGCCATCTTTGTCCTTATTCACCCCACCCCCAAGAGTACGGTAGTTAAGTCCTGACACAATGAAAGAGTACCACGGGTTTTGCATCAGAACATTGACTTCCAATGGGAAACCTGGTGCATGGCTCAATCACGTCAGCGCTTGGACATATAGTACAATGTGCATCCTCCATGCGCCATCCACTATCCCCGACATTGAAACTCTTTACAAAACCCATTTATAGATCCAAAGAGCCATCAAATGAAAACCGCATTTTCAGGAGGTTTAGCCCTCATTAACGAACGTGTCCAGGGGTCAGCAGCCTGGTGGACTGGACATGGCTCCAACGAAGCCAGAGAACTGTGTTAGCAGGCGGCCCGCAGCGGAGGCAGATCCGTTTGCTCAGCAACTGAGCGACAACACAGAGATGCTCCTTTCACACTGAGCTGAGCACCGACAATCAGGGCTTTGTTTGGGAGGCATCCGCTGTTGCAGCTCACGAGGGGGAATAAATCTGTAAACTCACTCGATGGGTTATCAGTGTTCAGGCTCGCTCAATATTAATAGAATCATAACATTTATTTTTTTCTCAGCAAGAGACTGTTTCACTTCCAACACAAATGAGTGTTATCTTATTTTGACTGTAGTCAACCGTGTTATTTTTGGTTTTTGGTTCATTTCATTTGGCATTGTAATAAATGCCTCGAGATCTTTTGGAAAACTTAATTCAGGTATCGCTAAGTATAAAATTTGGGCTGTGTTATCATTTGTCAGAATAACAAAGCATACAAATGAGACTAAACATACATTTGAAATTTGATTTAAAGTCTGATAAGATCTGATACACAGCTGTGTCAAGATGACAGGAAACCATTTCAGACGCATTTCAAATGTTTTGGTGAGCACCATGGACGCAAAAATGCATTTCATTATTGTGCACAGCAGTTGGACGCAACTGCATACAACCACGACAAAACGTGTTCAATACAAATAGAAAAGAAAATAGATCCAGTGCTTTGAAAAAGTATTCAACATTTGTAGAAGTGCAGAGATTTGAAAACCTATCCAACTAACTGACAATTATTTTGCGAATCGATTCATCGTTAAGAGAGGGTTTAATTTATTCATGACCAAATCCTTGAAATCGCAGATTTTCAACAGTAGTCTTCTCAGACTGCTGTAGTCTTCCATAAAAGCAGGCTTGGCATTTTTTTTCTCTCCAAAATAACGACATTTGCTTTTACTTTGATCAACATTTATGCCCATTTTCTGACCAAACCAGTATTTGAATCATAATGAATTTACATTTCTGCAATGTATCCAGTGTCAATTTGAAATGTCCCAGTTTTGAATAAAAAAAAAAATCAAGATTCATCATGAATCATTAGTTGCACCCCGAAACAGAATTCCATTTTGTGCCCGAACAATTGCAAACTTGAATGCATTTTGTTGATATTTCACGTGATAGTCCAACATAAAATAGCAACTAATTGTGAAGTGGCACCCAAATGGTATAAGGTTTTCAAAATCTTGAAAGGATATCAATCTGAAAGGTTCGGTTTGCATTTGTATTCAGCTCCCTGTACTCTGAAATCCCTAAATCACAGATGTCAAATTCTCCTGGCAGACCACTATTCTGCATGTTTTAGATGTCTCGCTCCTCCAAACCACCTGATTCCAATGATCAGGTCAGCAGCAAGCTCTGCAGGAGCCTGATATATATCCACATCTCAAGGAGCGCTGTCAAATCCATCATCCAAAAATGGAAAAATTATGGCACTACTGCAGTGCAAATCTACCAAGACATGGCCATCCACTTAAACTGTCGCCAAGAGGCCCATGTTCAAGCTAGAAGAGCTGCAGAAATTCACAGCTCCCGTGGTACAAACAGTTGATAATTTGCCACAAGCCATGTAGGGGACAATACAAACACGTGGAAGAAGGTGGTTTGATGAGGCCTAAATGGAAAGCGCTGTGTCTGGCGGCAACACGACTCATACTGTGAATGCACCACCCCTACTGTGAATCACTGCGGTGGCAACATCTTGCTGCGGGGTTGTTTGTATTCAGCTGGGACAGGGAACCTGGTCAATTGATAGAAAGATGGATGGCGCTAAATACTGTACAACAGCGGTCCCCAACCTTTTTTGCCTCACGGACCGGTTTAATGTCAGACAATATTTTCAGGGACCGGCCTTTAAGGTGTGACGGATAAATACGACAAAATATGACCCGCATGAAAACTGTGGTATTTTCGAAACATAATAAACACGAACCATGACACGAGGAACGTCCGATCTGGCTGCAACACTCTCTGCTCGCTATGGTCACGTTCAACCGTGCCTTCAAAATAAGATACACCACAAATAAAAAATGCATGAAAAATATGACTCACCGTCGTCGCATATTACGCAGAGTGGGCTTGGTCCGTTGGAATCTCTCGTTGAGATAAATCCGTATTTTAAGTAGGACTCCTGATACGGTCTATTAAATGTAGTCTTATTTTCTTGAACGTCGTAGGCTCCTCTTCTGTCAAGAAAGTTTCCAAAGACGTTTGTTTTTGTTTTTTTACTGATTTTGCTAGCTCCTAAGTTTCATTTTAGCGGTAACTGATCACGTGACCGAGAAGCGCTCCTTGACCTGCATCAAGAGTAACACACCGTAGATGGATGTTACAGCGAATCCACTAACTTTTCATAATAAAATATCTTTCAGATTCCGACATAAATAAAACGGAAGTAATGTAAGTCCTTCATTCTTTCTGTGCGGCCCAGGGACAGGTACCGGTCCGCGGCCCGGGGGTTGGGGACCCCCCTGCTGTACAATCCCAAAAGCCAACCTGTTGGAAGTTCCAAAAGACTTGTACTGGGAAGGAGATTCATCTTCCAGCAAGACAATGACTCTAAACATCAAGTCAGAGCTATAATGGAATTGATAAGATTAAATCAAAAATAAAACTTAAGACTGTCCCAGTCAAAGTCCAGACTTAAATACCATTCAAGCCTCTGTGGGTAGACTTATAAATTGAAAGGCCCTTTCCACCCCGTTGCGGGGCTAGAACGGGCAAAAATATCAGCGTCTAGATGTGTGAAGATGGTAGACAAACTCCACAAGCCTAGCAGCTGGAACTGCAACGAAAGGTGGCTCGAGCAAATTTTGACACGGGAGGTCTAACTAACAAGGCGCCACCATTTTCAGATTCTGATTTGCTTTAAATTGTTGAAAACGATGCATATTGGCGCTCCACTTATTATTTAGGTGCTACTTCATGTTGGTGGAGCACGTGAAATCTCAACTAGCGTTGAACCGTTTGAGGGACAGCAGTTACTACAGTGGGCAGCTTACCATGTTATCAGGTTACAGGGTGCCTTAAAGGGTTAAGCTTGTGGTTGGAAGGTGGCAAAATGGGAAAACGTTCAAGCGGTGTGAATATTTAGTCAAGTCACTGCAGAAAAACGGTGTGTCATCCAAACTAATGTTATCTTTGATACAGCTGTTGTGACCGTGCACATGAATCATCCATCGGGTGAGGGTGCGTCACGAGATTTAGTTAAAATTCTGCCAAGGCTTAAACCACATTGGAATCCTGAGCAAATAATTGACCTTCCCCAACAGAAAAAAAACTTTGGAAAACACTTGCGCTGAAAAATCACATATTAACTAAACCACAATGGTGAAGTTGAAGCCAAAGAGCAGTGATTTGCATTAAGTGGTGTGAAATCAAAAATAAAACTTAAGACTGTCCCAGTCAAAGTCCAGACTTAAATACCATTCAAGCCTCTGTGGGTAGACTTATAAATTGAAAGGCCCTTTCCACCCCGTTGCGGGGCTAGAACGGGCAAAAATATCAGCGTCTAGATGTGTGAAGATGGTAGACAAACTCCACAAGCCTAGCAGCTGGAACTGCAACGAAAGGTGGCTCGAGCAAATTTTGACACGGGAGGTCTAACTAACAAGGCGCCACCATTTTCAGATTCTGATTTGCTTTAAATTGTTGAAAACGATGCATATTGGCGCTCCACTTATTATTTAGGTGCTACTTCATGTTGGTGGAGCACGTGAAATCTCAACTAGCGTTGAACCGTTTGAGGGACAGCAGTTACTACAGTGGGCAGCTTACCATGTTATCAGGTTACAGGGTGCCTTAAAGGGTTAAGCTTGTGGTTGGAAGGTGGCAAAATGGGAAAACGTTCAAGCGGTGTGAATATTTAGTCAAGTCACTGCAGAAAAACGGTGTGTCATCCAAACTAATGTTATCTTTGATACAGCTGTTGTGACCGTGCACATGAATCATCCATCGGGTGAGGGTGCGTCACGAGATTTAGTTAAAATTCTGCCAAGGCTTAAACCACATTGGAATCCTGAGCAAATAATTGACCTTCCCCAACAGAAAAAAAACTTTGGAAAACACTTGCGCTGAAAAATCACATATTAACTAAACCACAATGGTGAAGTTGAAGCCAAAGAGCAGTGATTTGCATTAAGTGGTGTGATCCGATCAACTTCACGCTCCAACCACTGCAGGGGCCGCTAATACAAAAAGTGGAACATTTGGGAGCGGTTAAATAAAGACATGAATATATTTCAACTCGGGCCAGTAACTGACATCCAGTTTTTGATAAACTTACTTTGACCTTTACCGGAGTGAAATCAGGCAATTCCGGTCTCGCAGTGCCACCTTGTGTCTCGAGCACTATATGGTCCTCAAGACAAACAACAACAATTACTTTTTGGGACACTTTTATTACTTTTTTGACAAATATATATGCTTTTCCTATCAAGGAGACATTCTTTAAAAGCTAGGTTTACAGCAAATACAGTTTTGCAATAGGACATAAAATATGGGAAATCAACAAAACGATGTAAGCATTTCAATGCGTGCACAAAGTAAAGGAAAAGTGTGACGTTTAATTATAAAATAACTTGTAAAAAGTGATACCGATGACAGCCTGGCCATTTCTGGTCATGAGAAAACTGCTGTTGTTGTTGTTGTTTCAAATGCCAATGGGACCCTTTCATTGTTACATCATAGGAAATATTTGTTTTGCATCAAGGCACACAAGCATTGATCATTGCTTTTTTTTTTAATCCCCCACCCCACCCTTTTGCCAACCCTTATGTTGGTCCCATTTGACAGGACTTCTGTACAAACTACAGGAAAAAAAAATCAAATATATCAAAAACCATTGGGGAACAGATTATCGACAAAAGGAGAACCCATGAAATCAAGAATGTACAGAGAAATGTTGATTTCACACCTCAAGAGTTGAACTGTTTTTGAGTCTCTCTAGAATGGGAAGACCTGCAGCTTTGTGGCTATTACAGAGGATGTAGCTCAGTGAGGGATCGGTTTTCCTGCTGTATAAACTCTTGTAAGCTTCTCTTTCCCTGCTTGAAGTTACTCTCCCTTCTGGAAAATGGCAAAATCACCTGCAGTCGCAGAAGAGTCTCAATATTACTAAAACTTCTTATCTGTGACGTCTTGAGGGTGTCGAGGACAGTCGTCGGAAGATAGCCCGCCAGGGGGTCCAACCACTTCTCCTTCCACAACTTGATCTCATCTTGAAGCGAGGCCTCATCCGGCAAGTCTTCTCTGTACAGGCGCAGCACGAGACCGCCAAGAGTGCTGGTTTCGACTTTGGACATTGCGTAAGGCACAATCTCCAGACACCGAATGGTATCCATCACCTTTTCGGTGAAGAGGTTGTCAATTTCCGCTATCGAGTGCTCGACAAATTTCAGGCTTAGTGCATTTTTGTAAAACTCGCTCAGCGGTTCGAGGAGAACTGAATGTAGCAAGGGGATGTGGAGTTTGGATGCAAGCGTGACGGCTTCCTCAAACCATGCCTTGTGGTGCGCGTCGATATCGCTCATCAAATTCCTGAGAGAAGCGTTGAGATCTGGCAAAGTGTTCAGGGCAAGTAGCATGTCTAAGGGCTTGCCCTGAAGAGACTGGCTGAGCTTTTTGCTTTCGTGCAAGACGTGTCGCAGCACCACCAATGAAAAGATGAACTCAAAGTTTCTGATTGAATCAAAGAACCGCGATGCTTGCTGCTGGTCCGATACACTTCCCTGATGTTTGAGCTCACTTAGGCAAAGCAAGACAGCTTCGATAATCTCTACCATCACCTCGTGCATGTCGTGACTCTTCTCCCAATTCTTCATCAGCATATCCCTCAGCTCGTTCCCTTTTCCTTCATTGCTCTGAAACACGTGGAGGATCATTTCCTCCAGTTTGTTCTGCCGTTCCGCGTCCTGTGTCAGCCACTGTAATATTTTATCAATCTGCCCTGTTCGTTCGGCTGCTTCTTCTGTTGGGGAAGACTTGGCCAACCACACATTGAGGGACAAACCATAGCTCACTGTTCTGACTGCCTGAGGGTATTTGTTGGCTATTGCTAAGCTTACAGCTCTTATCTGAGTTCCAGCTTTCCCGACACTGAGCAAGGCCTGTCCCCGACAATACGCCATGTTAAGCCCCCATTTTTCAGAGAGCGCGGTCTCAACCGCCTCTAAAAGGACAGCAGAGTCTTCGACGAACGGGATGAAAGCAAGCGTTTCCTCACACTGGAAGTCCTCTTTGTTTAAGTACCTGATGCACAGCGGGACATAAACCTCACCGTCAATCTCAACAGTCTGTTCGGTGATAATTGTGAAGAACTGAGAATCCCAGAGTTCCTTGATAATTTCTTCGCGCAACTGCGGCTCATAGAAAGACACTGGTAGTCTTGGTTCTTGAATCGATTTCAGAACCACTTCGGTTTCAGTAGATTTCTCCTCTCCGCCTGGAAGCTTCTCAGATGCTTCGGTGGCAGGGTCGGATGCTGAGGGCGACGCCCGGTTTGACAACTCTTCTGTGTCAGCCCCTATTGAAATATAGGAAAATAATGAGTGATGTACTACGCAGAACACTACTAAGACTCACAAAAAGCACAGTACTTAATTTTCCAAAGACTTAGAGCATGGTCGACCAGAGTGGGCAGTGGGAAAACAGGTGGCTTGGGAGGATAAATAATCTATTTTCAAAGTTAAGATTGCTCCAATGCAGTGGCCAAGTCATCTCGTCCTTTTAATTGTGGTGCATGATTTGCAGGTCCCAAACGTGTTGCGGTGTCACGTGCTTACTGAAGCTGCTTCTTAGAGCTGCATATATTTTACCGAAATTCAGAAAGCTAACACAAGAGGAAGGTTAAAAACTATTTCCACCATTAATGTGACCTATGCACTAACCTTTGAAAAGGAAAAAAAACATGCAATGGTTGCACAATTATATATATGCCCAAACTAATACTTTGTTGCAGCACCTTTAATTTAATAAGAGCACTCTCATTTTGGCTAGGAGTCAGTCTATGGGTAAAGTGTATCTTTGTGGCAATATTTGCACCCTGTTCTTGGGAGAAAAAAAAAGGGAATCTGTCAGATTGCAGAGGTATCTCGATTGTATTTCGATTTGGACTCAGGCTGGGCTAGTTCAAACCCTTATTTATCTTCGAAGGAAATCTTTTGGGATCATTGTCAGGCTGAAAGATGAAGCTCCTCTATCTTTTGAACAAAAGCCTGAAGGTTTTGCCAAAACACTGACTGCTATGAAGAACTACCTCCCACGTACAGTTAATAGAACCCCACGCCACTCTTTCCCACTCCCCTGCAGTCTCTCTCTCAACCAAACAAGTCAAGGCAGAAGACTGCTGCCCTATATTGTCTCTCGGGTCTGGCTGTTTCTTTCTGGGAGGGTGCTTGGTCATGCTGGCCCCCAAGCCCTTTTCACACTGCACTTCATGTCCAATACCAGCCCGTGAATACATCGGCTGTTCGGAAAAATTACCATATTTTCATGAAATTCCCAATGGCCACCTTGCCCCTGCCACATACACAATGAATGAGTTCATCATTGGTGCGCTGCCCCCGTTAAGTGCAATGTGAAAGGAACTATACTGAGTTCTAGATGTGATGAATATGTAAAGAACCTTCAGATAACTTCTGTTATGAATTGGCGCAAAATAAATACAATTGAATTGAATTAAATAGAATATACGTTACAAGACACAAAATTGGAAGCAAAGAAATAATTCAAATGGATGAGATCAGATGAATGCACTTACCCCTGTCGAGATTTAGGCCTCGTAAAGTTTCCATCACCTACAAAAAGCAAAACTTTGGTCATGCCAGGCTGATGGTGCCGATTCAAAAGTGGTTTGACTATTCGTAATTAAACATGAAATTTCAGTTCTGAAAAAAAATTTGACCACTAGACAATGTAAGATTAATCCGACAGTTTCCCTAAATCAGGAGTCTCAATTTATGTGGGGGAAGTGGGAGATAAAGTCTGAGAGCTCATGAAGCAAATCTGAAGCTTCATTTTCCCATCGCTACCAGTAGGTACTAGTTTAGCCCCGAGGACAACATGAGCAGCCCACGGCTCTGCTCGAAATATAGCTCATCAGTAATTGGGCACAGCGAGTTACGAAAAATAATTAAAATGGAAACATTTATCGAAACTTATCATGATACATATTTCTTAATGTCGCAAATATTCTACATTTTGTTAAAAAAAAACAACTGTTTTCAATGAGGAAAAAATGTTTTTATTTACCCAAATATTGAAAAATAAGTTATTTTAGAGCTATAATTTTAATACCGTGATACCGCAATGTTTTTGTTCACTATTGAAAAATAAGTTATTTTAGAGCTATAATTTTAATACCGTGATGCTTTTGTTCATGATTATTATAGTGTCCGAATAGCACATTTAAACTCAATTTTATTTAAAAAATAGAACTCCCCATACATCTTCAAATGCAATGCTTTCCAAAAAAATAAAAATTCTGAAAAAACAAAACAGTAAAACACATTTTAATTAGATGAATTTATGTGTCATTCAATTCTGACTTCTCAGAGTAGGTCAGTGAGTTGTCTTAAATTTGAGTTAAAATTTAAGTTTGAAATTTCTCATTCCAGTTCAAAAATGGTAACATGCTGAGAATGCACTGAAAATGAAATAATATATGAAGCCATTTATGACACTAGTTGATCTGTGAGAAAACTAGGAACAGGTGGTCTGACAGATTAGTTCAGCACTTCAGAGCGACTAACTTACCTGTGAAAGACATGGACTGCTCTCTGGATCAACCTCAATACACTTGCCAATGACTTCGGGCAGCCGCCGCAGCGTCGCGTTGTGAGAGAGGAGCATCACACGAGCTGTCCTGTTACCTTTGCATACAGTGTTCCTTAAAATATCCCTCATTGAATTCAAAGTGGACTTCATGAGGTCACATTCAATGCTGACACTGGGCAGCACCGCGACCAGCCGGAGCAGTAAAATAATTGTTGGGTGGTTCTTACACTCGGGATGAACTAATGTTTCGGCGATGGATGTTGGAGGAGCAACATCCTGGTCTTTGTCTCTCCATACTGCGGCCCATGCATTGATGTCCTGATCAAGTGTATCCGGCTCTGGAAGATCTGACAGGTAGAAGTTGAAATGTTTGTCTGTGGATTCTGGAACAATGGGCTGTGGATTGCAGGATGGCAGTAGAGACAAGATCGATAGAGCCTTCAAGTGGTTGTCTGAAAAGCTGTACTTCATTTCATCAATGAGACTTTTGAGGAGGGGGATGCTCAGAGTTTCCCTGTAGTATATCTCTGGAGAATCGTAGTTGCCGGCCTCCTCAGGGAAACAGATTTGATGAGGGGCTACCTTGCTTGCTAACCGATATGCCTGTTCAAACCAAGTGGAGTGTACCGTGCTGACATTTTCCAACATTTTGTTGAGAGTCTCTATGATTAGAGGGATCTTTTCCACTTCACAAAGAATATCAGCAGGGTTCCCACAGCGGAAGACGGTGCTACAGTTACGAAGAGGAGCACAAGCATTCTTCAGGACCACAAGGGTGACAATGAAATCCACGCTCTTCAGCGCAGCGGAGAGAACTTGAGCATGCATTGACATGGCACCTCTGGCATTCGAACAGACGGTGTCGAGGCAACTGAGAATGCCCTCCAGTGTGTCAGCAAGTATGTCAAAGAAGTCCTCTCTCTTCTTCCACCTGGAACAGAATGTCTCTGGAATTTCCTCCAAGGCCTCCCTTGGCATGTTCAACAGCCCCTCAACGGCCTGTGCCAACTGTTCTTCGAGACGGGGGGAGTCACCAAAGAATAGCAGCAAATCTTCTGCTATATCCAGCATTTTTGCCACCGAAGGACATGGCACACTGCCTACCAGCCAATGGGCCAAGCCACAGGACTCACTTGGTGTTACCACACACAGTGGATAAGTCTCGAGGATGTCCAAAGACATTTTCTTCAGGCTTTGGTAACCTGAGCCCAGGTGCATGAATGCTTGTCCTCGGCACTGTGCCATCGGTAAGCCCCAGGATTCTGTTAGTATTTTTGTAAGATTTCTTGCTTGTGTATCCACATCACAGTTTTCGTCATACGGCAAGTAACCGATCAGCTCTACTTTGGGAGCAGATTCTCGGACATACCTGACAAAAACAGGTAGGTGAGTCTCATCAGCGATCTTTACGGGTTTGTCTGTGATAAGTGAGAAGAATGGGGACTCCTGTATCTCCATCAGTATGACATCTCGGATTCCGTCTATGAGTAATGTCACAATTTCAGCTTCACTCATGGACAGTGCACATTTGTTCTCCTTCTTAAACCAGTGGCACAGGTTGAGCTCCTGGGTGAAACGCTCTATTTCCTCTTCGGAGAGGTCCGTGATGCTGATATTTTTTTTCCCAAGGATGGCAGCCTGTCTAAATAGCGTCACCAGACTTTGACGGTTATCTCCAATTTGTCCATTTTCATCTACTGGCTTCATATGTTGTTGCTCATCCGTCACGTCAGGACCCTGCTGAATTTCCATCTCATAACTTTCCACCTTGACAGATGTTGCCACTTGATGTCCGACAAAAAATGTAAAAGAAAAAAAAAAATTCAGATTCATAGCAAATTTCAGTTGACAAACAAAAAATGAATACTATACCTTCCATATTGTCAGAGTTCCTGATTAAACTTTTGGCTTCCTTATCCTGTGGAAACATAAGTATGCATCACATGTAATGAGAGATGGCAAAAGAGGCAGTCGTTGAAGCAGCTGGCTCATTGTTCTGAGACTTTAAAAATAATAAACTGAGGAAATTACAAAAACTGTTAATAGTTAATTATTATGGGTGTTGTGCAATATTGGCCCATTCGGTTATGCAAGGCACATCAACATACATAGCACATACAAAAGAATCATCAATACATTTGAAAATAATGATATATCTTTTGCAGTTTTTGTAATGGGCAGATCATTTTGACTTGGTCGTTTTGTAAGTAGCTCGCATGCTGAAAAAGTGTGAGCACCACTGCAGTCGGGTCTTCGATGGATTAACAGTAATGCTTTAAACTCCAAGTTTACTCTTCAGTTTCAGGTAAGGGGGAAAAAAAAAAAAGAGTTCATCTTAGATTAGGGTACATCAGAGAATCGGGAGGAAGCACTCCATGGGAACCCAGCTATTGTTCACAGGGCAAACCTGTAATTTTTTATGTTTATATTTCTTTTAGTAATATAGATCAGAAAGTGTTTGTAGACCCCCTGAGGGTCTGCGCAGCACCCTTACACCCCTTCTACTGGAGAACCTGCTTGAGAAATACATTACGGGACAAACAATATCACATAGTGTAGCTCAAATGAACGAAAGCACTCACCAAACAGATACCTTCCAGGGCTTGCGGAGTCACCTTCAAACACTGGCTCACCATGCGGTCAAGGTCTCTGTTGAAATCTGTGCCGACCTGGAGCACAGCTAAGCAGGGGGAGCGGTCTTTGGGATTTGTATTCCGCAGGTACTCTTGGAACTTCTTGTGGCGCATGACAACTCCACAGTCCTCAAGGGCTGTGCTGGGGAGCACGGACATAATCCGAAGGAGTGCGTTGATGTTGCCAAAGTACGGCATGAGCGGCAGGCGCAGCGTTTGAAATATTGAATTTGGGATGGTCACGGAGGCAACTTTTGTCTTCCAGGTGACTCTCCAACAGCAGAGTTCGGTGAAGAAGTTGTCAGCGTCAGGAAGATCGCTACTGTAGAGAGGCGGCTTGGATTTTAAGCTCTCAAACATGTAACTCACTGTCACCAAGCAAGGGACCAGGGAGAGGAAATTAAGAGCTTCTTTGTGATCCTCTGAAAAATGATCCTTGACGGCATTGATGAGGTTATCCACTAAGGGCACACTTAAACTGTCTTTATAAAAACCGACTGGCTTTATTAAGGTGTCCCTTGGCAAAGTGTTGTTGGGAATTTCTATGGGCACTCTTAGACTTTGTGCGATCGCACTGGCTTCGTCAAACCAATTCTGGTGGAATACTTTCAAATTTGTTTTGATTCTGTTCAAAGTCGCCACGATGCCGGTGATTTGACAAAGTTGGAATGCCGTATTGAAATGATCTCGCTGAAGACCAGCGCTCAGCTCTCTGGTAAATGAAGAGGTATTCTTGAGGATAACCAAAGCGATAATGAAATCAAATTGCATTATTTTGTTTAAGAGGACCCCGGCTTGTTCAGAAACATCGTTTTTCCACCTCTGTGGATTGTCTTTAACTTTTTCAAGACACTCAACGAGGGGCTCCATCATCTGCACAAACACCTCATACGAGTCATGCATTTCTTGCCAAAGGGAACAGTAGGTCCCCTGCAATTCCTGGACCTTTTCGTAGCTTTCCCGAAGACCGTAGGCGATAACATGATCCAGCTGTTTTTCTAGAGCAGTCCTGCTGCCAAAAAACATCACCACCTCTTCAAATGTGTCAAGGGCTCTTTTAACCAGTGGCACTGGGATAGATTTTGACCACCATGTGTTGAATGAGTAGCAAGAGCAATGTGTGCTAATGGCAAGGGGATACTTCTCCTGCACTTTGCAAGCAAAAGCTTTGAGTTTGTAAGACACATCACCAGATCCGAGGTAAGCCTGACCTCTGCAGTTATTCAAATCAAGGCGCCACTCTTCCGTGACGATTTCCAAGAGGCGACGCACCATAGCGTCACAATCCAGATCTGCTTCCAGGAATCCCATCAACTCCAGTCGCATGACATCGAAACTGTCCACAAACCGAAGGAAGAGCGGAAGATAGTCCTTTGCCCCGATCTTTACAACACGATCGATGAACAATGAAAAGAATGAACTCCCGGCTTCCGTGAGAATTCCTGCTCTGACCGCATCTTCACACACAGTCAGTACTTCTTTCATTTCAGACTTGGTGACATAGTCAACTTCTCCATCCTGAGCAGGAGAAACCTCACTTTGTTCCCAGCTTTGGCTGGTGTACGCAGCAGTCACTGCGGCTTGCAGAGCCGACTTCAAAGCTTCTCTATCTGTCTCGGCACACTTCATCTCTACAAGACTCTCAGCATCCATCTCCATGTTCATTACTTGTAATTCATCTTCGGTGTTTTTTTCGGCATGGTTTCCTTGGCTTGCCGCTGTAAGAAGAGATGATTCAGTATTAAACATGAACACAAACATGAATGATGCCAGATCTGTTTGACTATAATTGTACAAGGAGGCGGGGAATGCTCCAACACCCCAACATCCATTTAGCAGCCAGACATAACTCCCAAGTAGAGGGTGTAGGAGCCAGGTAGCAATACTTTAAGATAAAAACGGATGAATTTGTTAACCGACTGCAAATATATACTCATCAAAATGGATGATGAATTAAGCTTTCTAGAACTGTGTGGCTCTGCTCCAATTTATCCAGCCATGCTCCCATCATGAAGCCTCTTGTTTTGTGTCATGGGGTGGGCATGGCAAACCTAACTGTGAGCTACTGTCCCTGCCTCGCCTGCCACTGCCCCCAACAGTGCAGCCTTGTCGTGCCAAATCTTATACTATTTAAAACAAGGGTGTCGAACATACGGCCCGCGGGCCGGAACCGGCCCCAGAGGAAGTTTGATCAGGCCCGCAGGATAATTTAAATTTTTTTAAAAATACTTAAAAGACACAGAATGAATATTTTTAATAAGATGCAATTCATAGATTATGAAGCAAACAGTTTTCTTCAGTTTGTTGAATTGCTCCATGTACAGCACTTTGTATGCAGCGATGGCTGTTTGAAAGTGCTCTATAAATACAGTTGAGTTGAGTTGTAAAGTGTTGGCAGGGATTAAATTTAGATTTTATCTGCACATGTGTAAATGGTTTAAAAAATCCTTTCTTTATAAATCTCGTTTAATCTTAAAATGAATGACTATATTTTTCAATACCAATTACTTGTTAAAGTTTTGTGCCTTTGTACAATCAGTGGGATCAGTTGCAATGCATATATGTAATGAGCAAAGTAAATTGCACTTTTGTCTAAGGCAGGGGCCGGCAACCCAAAATGTTGAAAGAGCCAATATAGGACAAAATAAAAACAAAAAACAAATATGTCTGGAGCCGCAAAAAAATAAAAATAAAAGCCTTCTATAAAATTTACAATGAAGTAAACACATGCTGTATATATGTAGGAGACTGGACTGTCTCAGAATTGTTTATGTTATTCATTCCTTTGTTGTGTGTTCACAAACGCCCCCATAGAATTTATTTTGTGATTTCCTCACTTGATTTTTTGTTTTGGTGCATTATTTTCGCTTTTCTTAGTGTCAGTGAAGTGATCATTAATTTCCGTTTTTCGGAGGCTGTCTTTGAACGCCTCTCGAGTCCAACGAGAAGAGAGAAGGCACGGAGTCAGACGCAGACGTGTCTGTATTTGTCGAGACTGTTAAAAGCATAAATAAAGTGTACGTTTTAAAAAAAAACAACACCACAGCTCTCCTTTTTCGGAGCTGAAACGTATCTATATCTATTTGAGCTATATTAGCCTACTATCAAAATCTTTTTCCATTTTCAAACATTTTTTATAAAGCTCCAGGGAGCCACTAGATATCGCTAAAGAGCCGCATGCGGCTCTGGAGCCGCGTGTTGCCGAGCCCCGGTCTAGGGAAATCTAAGGTGTTTCATGAAATGGTTTGTAAAAGATATGTTCATTAAATGTCAACATTTTCCGAATGTTCTTGCGCTTCATTATACCAAAACAAAGGAAAGACATGATATTTTGGTTATTTTTAGCAGAGTATGGTATAATTTTAATGGTCTGGCCTTCTTGACATCTACCGAGGCCGTATGTGGCCCACAATGTGAAATGAGTTTGACACCCCTGATTTAAAATAAGTGTAAGTCAATTTATATTAGCCACCAACAGCAATATAACAGTAAAAAAGAATCAAACCAAAACAAAAGAAAAACTGTGTTGATCATCTGCATTAAGCGATGTCACTTTGACAAACAGACACAGTAATAGAACAATTCCTGATTGAACATTACCTTGATTTCTTTGTCGTCAGAATGTACACATACATAATCGAATACTTTTTTGAACACGGTCCTCGAATTTCAGGAAGAGCTGTTCAAGACCTTGACGTGATTATTCATGTTCAGCATTTGAGGGATGTGACCCCAAAAGCGAATGGACTGTCCACTGTCTGTTGCATATAGAAAAATGACCGCACGCCACGTCAACTTGGCTACATTCAAACAGCAGGGCATGAAGCCTAATTCCGATTTTTGTTAAATCTGAATTTTTTAATGTTCTCGTTCACCTTACAAAATGTAATGTGACTTTGAATGTTACAGGAACGCATCTCTGATCTGACACGCATGTTCTGCATTACATTAAATAAAGATGCCTTCTTCGAGATTTTAGTTCTTTATTCTGCCGCTTTGTCGTCCTCACTTGGCATCCATTACGAACTGTTCTCTCATCCAATCCCCACATTCCTACATATCCGATTGGGCTCCAGCAAGTGATGAGGGACAAGCATAATTTGCATTTTGAAACACAACAAAAAGTTTGCTGACTAACACATCCACCCCAACCACATCACCAACATGAGTGAGGTGCCGTTAACGTTCGACATTCCAGTGAAACACACCTTAGTGAGGAAGGGGACCAGCACGTGTGAAGTCGGCTTTTACTGTTGTGCTTGGTTGCCATGGTAATGGACAGAAACGGCCACAGTGAAGTTGCGTGGGAGCGATGGCGAACACAGCTTTAGTCAGGATGGGCGGCAGCGCCGGGCGAGTTACGCCACAATTTGTGAATGGATTGGCAAAAGTCAGCATCATTTCTGAGGAGCCGCACGGCAACGAGACTGACTCTGACTATGACACGAGGGAACCTGGTGTGTTTGATTGTGAACTTGCCCAGCTGTTCATTTCGGATAGAGAAGATTAGGATTTGAGGATGAGGATTGTTAAAAAAATAATGTGAGAACATTGTAAAATACTTCAATAAAGTACAAATGGACACAGTTCTGCTCCCGATGCCTTTTAAAAGGACATACGTTAGCGTGCTACCATATTTTTTTAGGCTAGCATACGTTTTACCATGCCCGTGTCCAATAATACAATGTATCATGTGTATGTGTGAAAGACATAACACCTGTTACTGACACTACTACCTTTTAATACGGTGCACCGTATTGTTGCGAAAATATGATATTTGTTTTTTTTTTTGTTTGTTTGTTGTTGAAATACGGATCAGATGTGGAGGGATGAGCATAATACTACAGATGCATCAGATACATATCCACATACAAAAGACAAACCCCGCACACTGCGCAAATGTGCAGTGGAGTTCTACCGAATCGCTCAGCGTTGTGGCGGCTCAAAGACTTTGCAGTGACTTGCTATAGAGAACACACCATGTTATTGCTTCATAAAAGTCCGTTTTCCCATATTTCTATGTACTACTTAAGGCTGTCACTATTTTTGAATCAATTACCCTATCAATCATTCCAGCAAATAATATGGAACATTATCGTTGACAGAGAAGATGTTTCACAGCTTGACTGCAGTAACACCTTTCTACCAATAGAGAGTGCTAACAGATTGTGAAACGGTCCTGAGGAGTTTGACGACAATGCAAGTCTAAGTAGACTGGAAATGTCTCTGTGAAGTGAAAACAGGAAAGAAGCTGAGAATATCTCGCTGGTGGAGGTTCAATGCAGAGATTTCGGGTCACACTTTTTGATTTTAGACTTATCTGTGTTATTACATTGACCGGTAAGTTGAGGTTCCACTGTATAGAGCGTCATTATTACTGAACAGAAACAATAAAAACAATTGCCTAAATCATCTTACCTTTCGAAGGCTTTTCTATAACTTCTTCATCCTGTAAAATACACAAAATTTGTCACAGTTATTAAAAAAATATATATTATTGGTCACGACAACTGTAATTAAAAATAAAAGAAAAAAAAGATCTACTCACAGTTTGTAACATCTGCAGTATGTCTGGATGCTTCTGGACATATGACTCCACCATTTGGTCAACATTGAAATGCACATCTTGGTTGACATAGACATATGCCGAGCTAAACTGTCTTCGGTCCTCGGGAGTGTCTTTCAGGTAGGCGTGGCATCGTTCCAGTACCATGTGGTATTGCCCATAAACATCTGCCTCGGCATTTACGCATGGCACAGTGCCCAACACTCGCAACAAGCTCTGCACGTTTGGGTAAAAGCCGATGTCTGGTATTTTCAGTGTAGCAAACACTGTGGTTGGCAGAATCCTGCGCTTGCTTGCGTGCCTCCATTTGACTTCCCAACAACCAAGCTCTTCATAGAATGTGTCAGGCCTTGCAAGGTTGTTCAAATTGGCGTCTGCGACTTTATCGCGGCGAATGCTGAAATTGTGGTCGGCCATGTAGGACGGCACTAAAGAGAGCCATCTCAGAATCCTCACCATCTCCGTACTGAAAATCCGCTTGACCTCCGCAACAAGATACTGCAAGATGGGCCGGGCTAAAGTTTCTCTGTAAAAGTCTTCCAGCTGGGTGTCATCGGAATCTCCGTGGTCAATCTCGGGTTTAACGACTTCAACGCCAAGCTTCTTGGCTCGACTGACGGCGTCTGAAAACCATTTTCTGTTGAATATGGCAATGTCCTGTTGGTATTTGTTGACCAGCTTTAAGGCATTTGAAATGGTGTACTGCAAGGTACTGCTCATGCTAATTATTCCCCTGAGACTGGAGTTGAGTATGCTCACACAGCAGAGGGTGTTCTTGAGAACAACTAATGTCATGATGAAATTAAAATTCTTCAGAACTGGCTTGAGTTTGGCCATCTGTTCGGCTGCATCTTCATCCACCTTTGAAATCATTTCATTGATGCAGTTCAGGAAAGGCTCCAAGATATCCAACATAGTTTGGAAGGCATCAGTGCCACACTCCCACTTCACACTGATGATGGCTTTAATTCGATCCACTTCTCCCTTTATATGGCCATATGTCATCTGGATTTTCCCTTCCAATCTTTTGTACAGCTCAGGTGTGTTCCTGAGTAACGAGGCCACTTCTTCGACCGTGTCTACGATGGTTTGAATCGTTGGCACCGGCATGCAGCGAATAATCCATATGTTAAAAGCATACGGGTCACTGGGTGATAAAACAACTTGCGGAAATTCCAGCAAAATTTTGCACGTGAGGTCTCGCATTGGCTGACACATACGTCCACTAACGAGATACGAGAGCCCTCTGCAATGCTCCATCCGTAAGCCCCACTTACTTCTTAACTCTGAGATAAGATGGTTAAAAAGATTGTCCGCATCCAAATCGCAAGGCAGGAAACCAACAAGGTGTTTTTGGGGGAACCCGGCCTCTGTGACGGATCGAATGAAAATCGGGATCTGCTCCTTTCCCTCAATAGTGGTCACATTCTGGAGCAAAATAGAGAAGAATCGGGCATGTCTCAGGCTGTTCTGGATCTCCTCTCGCATGAGGCTCTCACTAAACTGCAGGATTTCCTTCTTATCAATTTTCTCCTCACAGATTTTCTTCAGAGAATGCTGATCCCTTGCGCCGCCAGTCGACTCGTCTGTGTTGATGTTGCCACCGTTGATGCTGAATCCAGTCAGTGCCAGAATTTCCTTAAAATAGGCCTTAAGAGTCTCTTTGGCTCTGTGGCCGCCTACATTCTCTTGAGCTTGGTTATCTCTCTGTTCAGGTGTTGTGATGTCATCGCTAGAAACTTCTTTTGTCGCCTCAGTCACTTTCGGTGTTTCTATGTTTTCTAATGAAAAAAAGCACATGACTGAGTACATTTTTTTTTGATTGCTGATATATTCTTCATATATAGTGTATTGGTAGAACTAACAGTATTGCCGAAATCGTTTCTTGATATACACTGTCCTCCTAAAGTATTGGAGGCAATTTCTTTACGTTTGCTGATTCAGCAAATTCAGGTTTGACATCAAATGATGAATGAGACAATTCATCAACTCTTCTATATCTGATACATGTTGAAGTTTAGGGAACATCATTTGTGACAAACAATGTAAAAATATAGATATTACTTAAGTAAATTGGACTGGAAATTGGAACAGATAAAATAAAGATTGTTCATATTAAATCTGATGCGTGAAGTTAATACTCTTCGGCAATGAGATGCAATGAAATGATTTTTTTTCCAGAGTGAAAAATAGTCACGCGTGTGTTTATTATTTGATTCGGTCGTACACTAAAATCCATTTAAAATGAAAATACAATCAAATAAAAATGTTTGCTTTTTAAAACAAATAATAGCGCTGCTGCTCGCCTCTTGATTGGTACTCGTAAGAGGGAGCAAATGACTCCTATTCTGGCTCCCGATACATTTTAGAGTTCTTTTTAAGATTCTATTATTTGTTTTGAAATCTTTAAATTGCTTTGGTAAAACTTAAAACGAATTTTTGTTCTTTGGTTTATGACTCGGAATAAGACCTAATTTTAGTCTTACAGTTGTATTTTTTTTATTTTTATTTTTTTTGCTTTTTACTATCTGTCAATGTATTGTTTTATTGTTTATTATATGAATTATTTTTCCTCCATGTACTGCACTCTGTGGACAGCGGTGGTTGTTTTGTGTACAGGGGTTGTTGTTTGAAAGTGCTCTATAAATACAGCTGAGTTGAGATGATTAAAATGGAATTAAGATAAATAATTAAAATGAATAGAGATGAATTAATTATGAGGCGTGTAACTCTGATTCTTAAAGCGACTCCCACCCCT